TCCTTTTGAGAATAGATATTGTTTCTTTTGAGAGCCAACAATAAAAGTTCAACATTAATATTAGTACTACAAAAAACTGCTTCACTATTTCATCCTACCATAAAAGCAATCAAAATAAGTGAGGAAGCTCACATACCCCATCCTCCCCCAAAACTCAAAGTGCTGAAATTGCCAGAAAAAATAAAGGATTACCAGTTTCCTGGTAATACAAAATGTATGAACATCTACACATTGTGTCCTAGATGTCTGCAAAGTTTGTCAAAATTCTGTGCAGCAATTTATGAGAAGTTGATCTGACAATCTCTTCATTTCTATATTCAAAGTAAGGCCAAAGTTTTAAGTTGAAATTGCCAGAAAAAATAAAGTAATATGCACACCTACACACTGTGTACTAAATATCTGCAAAGTTTGATAAAATTCTGCGCAATGGTTTATGAGGAGTTGCGCTGATACACTATTCATCTCTGTATTCAAGATATGGCCATAAATCTAAGGATAAAACATCTGAACCAGAACACATACTGGTTTGTACTTATAACTAAGAAAAGAAGCCATTGCCATGACCAAAACTATAGAAAATTTTAAAGGAATTTCACAGAAAAAATAATCATGGCAACACCGTTCATCGAAATCATAAACCGATGCACTATTTTATGTATCTTAGTGTATTCTACTTGTGTGCCAAGTTATACTGAAATCAGATCAAAACTGTAGGAGGAGTAGCGTTTTAAAGGAATTTCACAGAAATTTCTATTTTTAGTAATCATGGCAACACCGTTCATCATAATAAAAAACCGATGCACTATTTTATGTATCTTAGTGTAGTCTACTTGTGTGTCAAGTTATACTGAAATCAGATCAAAACTGTAGGAGGAGTAGTGTTTTAAAGGAATTTCACAGAAAATTCTATTTTTAGTAACTAGGGCAACACCGTTCATTGAAATCGAAAACCGATGCACTATTTTATGTATCTTAGTGTAATCTACTTGTGTGTCAAGTTATATTGAAATCAGATCAAAACTGTAGGAGGAATAGCGTTTTAAAGGAATTTCACAGAAATTTCTATTTTTAGTAACCATGGCAACACCATTCATCGAAATCAAAAACCGATGCACTATTTTATGTACAGTCTACTTGTGTGCCAAGTTATATTAAAATCAGAGCAAAACTGTAGGAGGAGTAGTGTTTTGAAAAATTGTTTACAGACAGTCGGACAGCAAACGGACGGACGTTTGATATAAGCTCTTCTGGTCTCTGACCAGTAGAGCTAAAAATTAAGGAATCAGAATTTCCTGGTAATCTGCATATCTACACAATGTGTCCTAAATACATGTACAGTCAATTCTCGAATTATCGCCATTCGATTCATCGCCATTTTCGCAATATCGCCATGATTTCCCAAGAACGTTTTTCCTGCTATATAAAATTCTCTTTATAACGCCAAATTTGCATACCGCCATCCGCCACCCTGTTTTCACAACAAACGTCCATTTTTAAGTATCAATTATCTCGATAATACCGCCACAGGTGCATGTGGTCAGTGAAGCGCGGCTAATTGGTTGACACTATCCCTGTTGTAAAGCATGCAAAGTCAGTCAAGGTGCAATTAAGTAAATTAATTAAACAATAATTTTAACATGAACTGTTAGAACAATTTTGTTTTCTGTTTAATAAAATCATTTATAAATCAACACTTCGCCACGAAAGCGGTCGTTGCAAAGTACGCCGATAACGATAAATATTTTGATGATCTCTGCTTTTAAAAACAATGCAAAGTTTGCTTAAAAAATAATTATAAGTCAGAAATTGTGAACGTTTCATTAACTATGATTTCATAAACAATGAATTTATTCAAGAACTTATTTTGCGTACTATAGGCAATATATCACGACGATCGACCAAGCATTTTTTTTCAATATCAAACGTGCAGATTTACATGCATACACATGTACTTGTCTTAATTTCATAACTGAATATTTTGTTTTAACAAAATTGTACATTAAAAAAGTTACTTGAAGTATTTTCAAATATAGAAATATGTTTGTATATACATGTACATGTGATAATAAGAAAAGAAACGCTAAATGGTATTTCTAAGAACGATAACTCTATGTCTTATTTCCTAAAAGATGGAAAATTCAATTCATCGCCAAATTCGTTATACCGCCATGATTTCTAAATTACAAAAGGTGGCGGTTTATCGAGAATTAACTGTATCTGCAAAGTTTGACAAAATTCTGTGCAGTAGTTTATGAGGAGTTGCGCTGACAAAAAAAACAGGACATACTGACTGACACTCTGACTGACTGATGGACGGGTTAAACACATTATACCTCCCGCAACTTGTTGCGTGGGGTATAATAAATTTAAGAGGTTTACACTTCTCAAAATACAATGTGATAATTCATATTGCTTACACTGGTTTGACTTCTAGAGGGAAAGATGACAACTCCAGATCATGTCTGTCTAATGTCACATTAGATAACAATCGACGACACTTGTTCTTTACCACCAACTACAAAATATGACATTATTCTTATAAACTTTAACCATGGTGAACTGTGCAATGATTATCCCTCTAATGTAACAAAAATATCATTTGTATACAGGTACTTTTTTAAAACAGCTTTTATGGGTAACTAGCTTTGCCATTTAAAGAGGCTGGGTGGTTGTGGCCATTTTTAGACTATTTTGATCTCATTTAGAAGACGAGCTCCATATAAAGATTAGATATAATAAAATGATCAAATTTGAAAACTAAAATTTATGAAATTTTTCTTTCCCAAATGATAGTTGATAGCTTGAGATATCATATCCCAAGATTTAAGTTATATCGGGTGGTTAATAAAAAAATAATTTGTTGACCCCCTAGCCTCCTTAATTTGAACTATACATTTAAATTAATTGACCTGTGATTTACAAGTTGTAAAACATTCAAAACATTCTAATAAAAAAAAAAACGGTCTATAAGAGATGTATTTACTCACAGTGTCTTTGCTGATATTGTAGACAAAGAATGAGCAGGTATCCGTCCAGTCATTAGTACACAGGTGATCAGCAGTCTGTCTCTTCATGTCTCCTATCCTCAGCATTGTGTACAGGACGGCACTCTTGTCTACAATGTCAAATCAATTCTAAATACAGAATAGTGACAATGTATGTTAATCATGTAAAAAGAAAGAAATATCATGTGTTCAACATTATTTCAAAATTTGTCTGTCACATGTTAAACATATTTCAGATTTCACAACTCAAATATATGCAAAAATATTCATATAAGAGACGTATATTTTCAAAACACTTGTTTCTGAACATAAGTTGAACATTTATCCTACAAATATTTAGAGTAATAACACAAACAGGTTTAGCATATCTCGTACGTGTCTAAAATTTCTTTCTGGTAAACTACTTTATGCCAGTAGAATATAATTTACATGTATTGCAATTTTATCTGACAGTGTGTACAAGTGTGTGGAAGAGTTACTACAGTGAACCCTGGAATTCAAATCAATCCACTTTAAATGAATTATAAATGAATTGAAAGGTACAGGGAAGTAATTTTTTTCATTCCCTGTATAAGTATTGTTTTTCAAGTATCTGTATGAGCTTTATAGAAAAGAAAATTTCAAATGAAATTGTTTTCATTGATGATAAAAGTGAAACCATTGTGGCAACGCACTTTGAAAAAATTATGCACTTTGAAAAAAATTTTCAAAGTGCGTTAAAATTGGGACAATATCAACGCACTTTGAAAATTTTTTTCAAAGTGCGTTAAATTTGGGACCAACTCAACGCACTTTGAAAAATTTTTTCAAAGTGCTTTAAGAGTTTACATCAATATATTTTAACATGGAGACACTTAACGCACTTTGAAAAAAAATAATATTTATGTCTTCCAATGCTAATAAGGCTCACCGCAGCTAGTTTTTGCTAACTATATATAAATTTGACTTAAAATCGCTCTTAGAGATGAATAATGTCATTTATTAAAATGACGAAATCAAAGGCAATAAATTTCACATACAAAAGAGGGGGATCAGACTCACATGCTCAGAATGTAAATTACGCAAAATATAAAAATGAAAAAAAATAATATTTTAGTCATGGAAAGATTTTATTTGTTATTTTACTTATTTATCTTTCAAAAAACTAAGCCTAACCCTAACCTCAAAAATGAATTGATTTACTCCTGTCGAAAAGAGGAGAAGACGAGTATAAGATCCCTCAGTCCAAATCTTTATCTTTCCAATACATAGGTGTCGGTAACAAACGGGGGAGGGGAGCAATAAACCTAACAAGAATAGATATGGGTTACCCCATATCTAAAGATATTCGACTGTTAGATTTAATATGTTTAACAGTGTTTATAATGACGTTAATAAAAAAAAACTGCACTGTCTAATTATGGAACTGTTGTAAATATCGTGATTCCATAGCATTACGGTCACCCAGTCTCCTAACAAACAGTACACATAGGCCTACATGTACCTGTAGCCTTGGTCTACACACGTGCAATGGAGCTGTCACACGCATCCAGCGAGCTCGGAGAAACACGTTTTGTTTTGCCGAGAAGTTACGGTGTCAGACAAAACTTTTCTTTTCTTAATTAGATCATATAAATACGAATTCTGATTAATAAAAATTATACAATCCCTGTTGAACTTTATATAGTTTGTTCTAACATTTGCATCTGCACCAACTTGTGTTTAAAATGGCCGGGTTGGGAAAATAGGACCGGGTCGGAAAATTCTAAACTGAAAACATGGAAAACCTTTTTTGTTTTGAAAATAACTGAAATATACTAATATATTTGTCGCAGAAATTACTTACATTATTCAAGTTCTATATATAATGGTATGCTGAACTTCAACACGAACCCGAATCTCCAACCCATGCAGTTCTCGTTTTGCCACACATACCCTACAGTTTACAAAGTGTACACACGAGCAGGCCAGGGATTGAAAATTCCGTCATTTAATAATACACACACAGAATGATAAATTTTTTCTTTAAGAACAAATTGTATGATAATTAACGGACTATAAACATGTACTTAATACAATTGTTGATATAGTATTATCAATTCATTGGTGAAAAGATATGAATCGAAGAATGACCTAATTATTCTCTGTTATCAAACACGTAAAAAAAAAAAGGCTGAGGAGGGAGCGAGCGTAGGAATATTGATATTTTTTATTTGCATTTCGGGGGGAAAGTGACTTTCTAATGATATTTTGACGTTATTTTTGATTTCTTTAACGTATGACATACACAACTTTACTCTTATCATGAACAATAATGTTGTATCTACTTATCATGATGGAATTATTTTGGTCGGACCAATATGTGTGAGCTGCCGCTGAATACAGTTATATATCTTGCAAAGATAGTATGCATTGATCGAATATATAGAAAAGGGTACGCTGCATTTTCAATGCTTATACGATGTATATATCTTTCCAAAATAAGTGGGGGGATTAGCCCCCCATCCCCTCCCCTGGCCCTTCGCCCAGTCTCGATGTCTATGCTATACTCATAGCATTCATATAATTATGTATTTACCTAACTGGTATAACCTTGAAAACTTTCAATAATAAATGAGTTAATTAAAAAAGATGAAAACAAGAAATTTTTAAGTACAGTAAAATGTATGAGAGAGAAAGAATTTTCATAGTTTTGAACAATCAAATTGGCCCCTTTTTATTATGATAAATGCTAAGTTGCTTGAAGCTGTCCTCTGTTAGTGCCCCCTATACACCTTTACTTCTACTTATCAAAGACTACAATTAAAAAAAAAAGAAGAAACAAATTAATGAACTTAAACAATCGTCACTCTTTTTTTCAAGACCCTTTAATTTTCCCTTTTATTTTATCAAAACCTTAAATATTTAAAACGTCAATATCTCAGGTCCTACTGTGACTTTATCATGAAAAAATTATCAAACCAGAATCTGTTTTTTATCATACCGATTATTTGATGGAATATTGATCAATCTTTACATTTTTTTTCAAAGTGCGTTAATATGGTCGATATTAACGCACTTTGAAAAAAAATTATTTTTTTCAAAGTGCGTTAGCTTGGTCCCAAATTTTAACGCACTTTGAAAAAAGTTTTCAAAGTGCGTAATTTTTCAAAGTGCGTTGTAACAAACCATGAAACTTTGTACTTGTACTTAAAAACTGATTGAGTACTATAGATTCCTAATTATACATGAGGAATTAATTTCCGCGTAATTTCACGAGAAGCATCACTCGCGAAAAATATTACTCACTTTTATTTTAATGGTGCAGAAATCAATGTAAATTCAGCTGATCAACCATCCATTCACAAATTATAAGTCTGGCTATTTGACTTGAAAGACCCAGTTCACGATAAAAAGTACTCACGAAAAATAAGGAATCTACAGTTGCTAATGCATCCAAATAATATATGTATATTTACAATATAAGCTTATAAGCAAATAATTGGATGGCAAGAGAGTTTACATGCTATTATGGTTTGTCCAAAATCTTTGCAAAGATGGTATATATGTATATAGGAAAACTATTTTTAAGATACACTACAATGAAACAGGTATTGAAGAGATCTGATTATCTTAATCAAATCATATCTGAATCAGCTAAATATAATTAAATAGCTTTATTTTGATACAGCATTTATAGACCTACTTTTGACAGAAATTTTATAAAGAAAATTTCTATGAAAATGTTTTCATCCTGTTTTCTTTTTTTAGTATGGTTTTTTGATCAGATACCAGTACATAGAGCTGTTTGGTGAGAAAGCTTTCAGCAGCTCTCTTTGACATATTCATACAGGCAAGAAGGTTTACTTCATGATTTCTTTAATTTTAAAGAGGATTGTAAATTTACTCCAAAAACATTTTTTCTCAGTGTTCCCGGCATTACTACTTATATCGTAATATGCATATAAAGGACCAAAATAGGACAGTGTTTGAAATAATACAGATATTGCAAAGCATGGAAATCATTTTATGGTCTTTTTTCTACAGCCACACATTTCTCTTTTCTACTTGTGTCTAGCAAAGTATTATTTCTTGGGAACTCACCAAGAATTCCAACCTCTATTCATTTTCAAAAAGAACAAATTATTCCAATACTCTTAGAGCAATTTACTCTATGATTAGTTTTTATCAATATCTCACATCAAAAGTTATTTTTCATATATTTGAGACATTTCATAGACATTAAAGAACTTGCCTTCACTTTGAAAAGCATCTCCTTTGAGTGAAATAGTCAAAACTCCTTGTGCTGAAAAAAGTTATAAAATAATGAGCTAACAAACATTTGAATAGTTTAAATAGGCATAATGTAGAAGGAGAGAGGATGAGCGATAAAAGAAGAAATCATTTATGTTCACTTTATCTTGGTACATGTATCTCCTGTACCATTACACATGTAGTAAAATTTAATAAGTATATTACAAATTAGAATAACCTGAAACAGAATATCCCTTTTCTACCCTTACCTAGCTGTTTTGTTTTTGAATTTGGCTGTGTTTTTTGTCTCAAAGGCCCTGCATATTTCACAATGGGAATGTCAATTTTTCCAGGATCAACCAAAGCTACAAAACAATAGGAAGATTAACCATGGAAAACTATTTTTTAATCTCTAGATAATGTTTTTACTATACTATAAAGTGAGAGATTTTTTTTTTTGTTAGTTTCAGATCATTATACAATGTACTTGTAATATTATCTTTGTTGTGGATTTAATATTTTCTTTGACTGGCTTTGAGAAAATACAGAATATTATTATAATTTACCATTTGATCAAACCACAAAATACCACGGTAATGAAAAATTTTAATGTTTACAAATGAAACCTTGGTTGTTATAGGAACACCTTTCAAAAAGACCATACCTTTTGTAATTCCATCATCAATATTTGCCTGAATCCAGGATTTCAGTAGTGGAACCTCCATGATTTGTAATGACTTCAGAACTTTTACATTAAACCAGACATCTGGCCTGCACGACAAATAGGAGAAAATATTCATGTCTGCACTAGGATTATCAAAATGTGTGCAATTTTTGCAAACCTTCAATATTCTGGATGATTTTTTTTCATTTTATAGCTAATTATGAAATTACACAAGAATTGTCTGAACAAAGTATTTACTTTTCTCTGAAGGATGCAGTGACTTTAGAAACATGAGGAAATGGAACATCCATAGACATGTTACATATCAGCTGTAGATTTCCAGTTATTGACAGCCCTTCTACAGCAACATCAAAATTCAGTCCAGCCCTGAAAAAGAAACCATTTATTTACTACCAAAAATATAATGGGATATTGTGTTAATGCAAAAGTTCCACAATAAAGAGCGATTAAATGCTGTACATGTATAGTTTTCAGTATTACTCTAGACTACTAAACATATGTACCCTGAACTCATTGCTGCTTGACCCCCCGTAAACTGCCCCAAGTTATGTTATGTCATCTAACATAAGTTGAAATAAGCTTCATTTCTTATAATTTAATTTCAGTGCAGACAATAAGACAATTTTTCAACTTATGTTAGATGACATAACATAACTTGGGGCAGTTTATGCTTTTTTATAAACCGCAAAGCAGTTTATAGAGCATAAACTGCCCCAAGTTATGTTATATTGTATAACAAAAGTTGATATAAGCTTCATTACTTAAATATTTCCAGCCATGGGAATTAATTTGACCTTCCGACCTACCTTCCACTGCCCACTTTGGCCACAAACATCATAAGGAAATCCTCCAGGTGGGACTGTAGGTCCAGCTCCAGCACCACCTGATAGGAGGACATGTTCTCCAGCCCCGGGGGTGGGCTCCAGATGGAGCTCCAGGCAATGGGGCGCCGACCAAAGGGGGCTCCATCAGTCAGCTCAAAAGCCTTGATATGCTGGATGGTAGGTGTGGTCTCCCCAAATGTGAATGCAGACAGATGTAATTGGGCTGTTGTTAATTAATAATAAAATAGAAACAATAGGAAATCAGGAACAACTGAAACAAATGGAACATTTGAATGTTATTCTCTCTTGATAATGAAATTCAAATACATGGGCATAGAGTTTTTTAATTAATCTATTATAAAGGTTTATATATGCTCATTGACAAACTGTTTTGATAGAACTAAAATATGTTATCTCTCTCTTTCTCTCTCTCTCTCTCTCTCTCTCTCTCTCATTTTGGCAAGAAATTGTTTATCAGGCCTGTTTTTTTAACCAAAGAATGACCTTGACTTTTCAATTCTTTATATATATCTACTAAATCTCAAAACCACAAGCAATCAATAAAATAAATATTCCTAATCACTACCCTATAATACATCTACTACTTGATCATTTATTCTTTATTTTGACAATTATATCCAGAGTTTATTACATTTTCAATCTCTGGATATAATGCGTAAATATCCAAATCTATCTGTCATGACAAATAAATCACCCTGTAATCTTCACATATAAGTCTCTTATCTATGTTTTCACCTCATTTAAGGAAACCAAAATTTATTAAACTGCTCCACACTATACAACACATAAACTGCGTGTCAGAGAAGAAGCTTGAGAGCTCTGCAAACTTTTTTTTTAACTGCCCTTTTCCAAAAAAAGATTGTCAACAAAAAATGTCCCTATAGTGTTTAGATATTGCAAGAAATCACTTTGATTATTTAGAGTAGGATTACATCAATCTGGTCTCAAATCTTCCCAACTAATTAGTGATCTGTTTTATTTTGGGTTTTTTACTCATTTCATTCTCATTTTAGTTCGAGAAAATAATATCACCGTTGAAAATTGGATCAATAAATTTACATTTGTTACAAAGTATGATAAACTTATAAAGCAAACTTTTCAAAAATAACTTGAAATCAATAATAAACTTTGTCAACCGCACAGTCAGGTAAATAATATGAATCTGATCTCTTATTGATCTTAGTACCCCTGGCTGGCTATAGGGCCATACATTAACTCATTGCTTTGGGTGAGTGATCAATAGGACGTTTTAATATTAAGCAGGCTATTTGTTGTTCAAAGTGTTGAGTAAATTCAAAACTGTATTCAAGATGCCAGACACAGTATAATGAAGTCTTCATCTCTTGAAGCTGTCTAAAAACTATTTATGCATATTTGCGGACTATATCTAATGCATCCATGCAGAAATTCACACTTCAGTTGAATTTTCTTATGAATTATGAGGATGTATATCAATTTAATGCTTTAACAATCATATGTATATTACATACATAGAGTTGCCTATATTTACTGTACAAATTACTGTAACCTAATTTTAGTATATTAACTATATCCCCTGAACAAATTACTGTAACCTAGCTAGTTATAAAAATACTGATGGTTCTAAAATCTTACAAATGAATCCAGGCTTGATGGACACCAGGCGATCGTTAATGTGTTTCTTCACAATATCCTGGATACTATTAGACGCAAAAACCCACCTGTAAATAACAATAAACAAAAAACAGACTCCTTAAGTTAATGAATCATATGATGAATTAAAGCTGAATCACGTGGGATGACATACTTTACTTATGTTTATTGTAAATTATTGTTTTTCTTAAATACTCAATGCATGAATTCTTAATAATCATGATAATAAATCTAAGTTAAAGTCCATGACAGTTTAAATTTCACCAAGCAAATATTTAATGATATGATTTCTCTGGATTGCAGCGACTTAATAATAGTTTTTCTCATTTCTACCAGCAAATATGCAAATGAATTTGTGCAATATTTTAAGCACACTTAACAGAAATGTAAATTAATGGCAAATACAAGGTAGTTTATAAAAAGATTGTTTAATATATCTGTAGACTTCTTCAGGTTTAGAAATATTTGCATGACCACTAGGTGATCATAAAACAGGGTTGATAAAAAAAAATATCACAAGAAAAAACAGATTCTTCTACAAAATTATATCTACGGCTTTATCCAGATTTTGTGCAGGGTAGATTTGCTTTTTTCTAACCTTTTTTCCTTCTATAAAATTTAATTACTTGTACATCACTAAACCGGAAAACAGTATCTACTGTATGAACATAAAAACTTCAATGATTATAAATTTTATAAATAAGAACTTTTCAAACTAAGATTGAGATTCCCTAATTGTGATGTCTTTTGTCCAAAGCATTTAACTTGTTTGTGTTTATTTTGCATTTGTCATTTATATATATTGTGCAGCAAGCACAAATTTTGAGTTTCAATTTCTCAAAGTAAAGGTACCAAATCTGATTATAAATAATACTTTAATCCTCTTATCAAACCACGAAGTGAAGTTATTTTGTGCAATTTTAGATAATATAAAATGAATTGTTAATACCAGTCTATTGCATGCTGCTTTTAACTTTAAGAGATAAAAAATGAATTTTATCACATAAAATTTCAAAGTACAATTTTGTTTTAACTAGCAATGAAAAAAATATATATAAGAAGTTTAGGTACACCAAGTTACTGTGAATTAAGGTATGAATAAACTGGTCCTCTAGGTGGTCAACCTAGGTTTTTGCATTGATGGGAGTTAAGTTTATATGCTTTGTAATAAAACAAATAATTTTGAAATGATATAAAGATCTGTTTAAAATCCTCTTCATTCTTTTTTCATGCAAAGCACCATATGTTAAATGTTTACAAAGCTATACAGAACAAATTAATTTCCTAATTAGCAAAAAATCTTTGAACGAAACCATTTTGAAGGATACAACACCATTTCAATGAATCTTATAAATTAATCAAAACAAATGATTGCTTATGCCTTTTTCAAAAAATAATCCATTTGACTGATTTTTTTTGCACCAGCATATTTTTCATCATTTGCAATGTTTGCTTCAGAGTATTTGCAGTCTGTAAAAAGCACTTACTAATTAGTTACTCCACATAGAAAAATCAGCTAAGGCTGATAAATACAGAACAAATTAATTTTTTTATCTTTTGACAACATTTTGAATCATTTAAAATGTCTACTTCATTCGTCTTTTTGACGAATAAATGAAACTGACTTACCATCTATTCAAAATGAAGTTCAGCCACTCACTTGATTCATCTTGACGCAGTGCTCTTTTTCTGTGAATAAGACATTCCACTGCAAATATTTTATTTCTTAATATTTGCCTTAATTTAGTTCTCCACACAACAAAAATTACCCCAAAGAGAAGAAATGTCCAGTAAAATGCCATCTGTAATGATCCTAGAACCCATGCTGTAGAAATGGCTAGAACAACAACGAAATACAACCCCATCAACTGTGAAATAGTGTCTGCATTTCCACTTTTCTCCGCTTCTTTTAGGAAGTCTTTGCGATTTTGTGGATTTTTAGCCATTTTAGCAAAAAAAATTAAGCATTAACAACAACTAAATGAAAAGTTGACTAGCACACCATCACTAATTGTCACACATCACTGAATAATGATCAATCATGAATTCATGATCGGGTTTGGATTTGACTGTTGTGAAATTGAAAGTACATTAAACTGTTCATATAACAATTCGGATAAAATTAATCTGGTTTTTCTTTAAATACTTATTGTTCTTTATAATATATTTTAAAAATTCTAATGATTTAAATATACAATATTTTTATGAAATTGTATAGAAAAAATTTGGGGGGAAAGCGAAACATTTAACGTACGTACTACTATCAAGAAACCTGTCAACCGACCAATGAAATTGCTGAATTCCATTTCAAAACAAGGCGGCCATTTCAACTTGCGGATAGTGTGCCTGTAAACACATTTTCAACGATGGATGCCAATAAATTAGAGAAAATGAAGTATAATGAACTTCAAAAATTGGCTAAGGAAAATGGAATCAAAGCCAACATGAAAGTAAGGATATAATCTCTTGTATTGGTGTAAGAAATTTGAGTTTACAATACATGGGAATGACACGACCCAAAACATGAAAACATGCAGCTGCAGAACTGTAGCTCCGAAAAATATATATTAACAGACCGAGGAGCTACAGTGCCACCCATTGAAAAAACTTATTGTGCACAAAAAGTGCACTGTTTCTCAATTTATTTCTCCATCCATGTTTTTAAAACGGTTCATCTCAGAATGTTACTATCCAGGTCCAGCACAATACCCCGATAAAGGTATATAGCTTGATAAAGCTATATAGCTTTATCAAGGTATTTTATGTAATGAAAATTCAAAAAAATTCTTTAAGAATTAATTACGGATAGTCATAGTTGTTTCTAAATTCACCCATGCATGTTTCAAACACAAACAAATCGGTATAAAAAAAACATTATTTTTCTTTCTTTTTATAAATGCTTGTAGACACACTGACAAAAACTTAGAACTCGACTTTCAGTATTTAATTTCAAAAGAATTTTGTTGAATTTTCATTACATAAAATACCTTGATCAAGGTATTTTAAATACCTTGATAAAGCTATATAGCTTTATCAAGCTATATACCTTTATCGGGGTATTATGCTAGACCTGCTAACCGTGCGTTCCTAACATATTCTTTCACTGTTTCCACAACAAAACATTCCTTATAAATGTTGTTAATACAGTGAATTGGGTCACGTCAGGGTGTTTCATTGATATTTTGTAAAGCTGTTCGATTTATATTTTATATATATGTATTGAAAGTACAAATAGTGAGTCGAACATCCAAAAACATTTTTGTATTCTAAGTAGCTATACACGGGAAAAATATTTACAACAGTACTTCTGCAAAGCCTAGCTTCACAGTTACAAATCATTTTCTCCATTTCCGGGTCATGTGACTTCATGGTCTTGTAATATGGTTCGTTTCTGGACACAGTTTTTATCATTTATGATGTTGAAATATTAAAAAAATCATGCAGCTTGGAAAAAAAGTAAATAGAAATATGTTTAAATTATTTCTAAAACAAAAGAAAACTAAACAAATTGCAATATGCAGAATTAAGAAAAATATATTGGATTAAATAATACAATTGAATCTATTTATTAAAAAAATGCATTTGAAGGGTAAACTCAGTTTTATTTCTTAGAAAAATACTTTCCAGTTAGAATACTTTTAATATTCAAAGTAAATACATGGTTGTTGCTTGGTTTTGTACATTGAGTTTTGGCAGTCTTCGAAATAACCTGGGTGCCCCATGCCCGTGACCTGGTTAATTTGCCATTGGGCATGTGAAAATTCTCAAATTACATGCCCGAAGGGCATGTGTGAATTTTCTTTTGATTCATGATGTTTACTTGCTATTTCTTCTGTTGTACCCCAGTTATTTGTGTAAACTTGCTATGTAATGTCTTAATCTGAATTGCAAGTCTACATTCGTCTTACGTTACATTATCGGTACAACCTGTCAAATAATTTTCAATTGTAATCATTAAAATGTGTAATATAACCGGGTTTTTTTCTTGGTGTTTCTTGCTAAATTACATAGCACAAAATGTTTATAGATACCACGTGCAGTGGACTGCTTTCATGATGATCATGATCCTATTAAATTCAGTTCAGCTATACTAATGACCACATGCGAGTCAAAAGTTGTGAACAAAAATGCATATGAAAATGGCAGACAGGCAGGCCAATGTTGATTTTTTAAAACTCTGGAAACAATTTTATCGAGAGAATTTAAAAAACAGAAACACTGTCCTTATAGTTTTTATAAAAACCTTATTTTTTGTTGCACAGTCATATCTCTGCTATATGAATGAATTTTGAGTAGGGCATGTACAAATTTCAATGGGCTGGGTTAAAATGACCCATATACATGCCCGAAGGGCATGTGCTGAAAAAGAATTGTTGTGAAGACTGTTTTGGCATGTTTCATATCACGAGATAACGTGAACTGAAATTGAAGAAACTACTACAGTTTGATTTATTAATGATTATAATTTTATTTGAGCAGTGATTATTATGATTGATTTTTAAACTAAAACTTAATGCATTTACCACACTTTCGAGCTCTTATTATTTATCTACAACTTTTATATCAGCCTTGCTGCAGCGAACAAAAAAGAAAGTAGCTCGTCACCAACGCAGAAACATCGCCGTCTTCAATGCATGTGTTTTAGAATTTCAATTGTCGGATGCTCTCTTACAGTTGATATTCAAAATTTTGTGATAAATTACAGTTAGAAAGACCAATTCTACATGACCAGTGTATCCATTAATTTTTTTGCGCTTAAATTTTTACAATATGGCATAAAATACCATGAGTGACCTGGAATTGGCGACTGCACTATAGCCCTCCTGGCCCTGAAATTGAGATAATTGAAAATTTTGTCTAGATTTATACTGACATTTTGCTTTGCAAGAGATAATTCGGTCCAACGCACTTCGTTCAGATGTCAACTACGACTACGAGAGTATATGATAGAGGAGTAAAGAATTTTTTGAAATTGAGGTAAGAATTAAGAAGAATCACTCCAGAACCATGCGCAACTTTTTGCAGTTTTTCCAGTGGATGGCACAGTCGCTGTAGCTCTACTGTCTGTCAATGTATTTTTTTCGGGGAGCTACAGTTCTGCAGTTAAAAAACGTTAAAATGGTGGATTAAACATTGAATTTGAAAAAGCCAGGGACTTAATTATGTCCCTAATAAAGCTTGATAAACAAGTAATAAAAAGGGTTTTCACAGGCAAGTGTATCTTTAGAAGTTAGAACCAAATTACGAATGAGTCACAATATCAGCCTTAAAGAAAAAAAATTGCGATTATGTCCTCTTTACATGTACATTTCTTGGAATTGGTACATGTACAAAAATGTAAAAAGTTACAATTTCGCAGAAAGACATAGTGTAAATGTACAATTCTTCAAATTTGTACATTTACAGTTGAAAAGTCGATAGCCTTGGATAAAAGATTTTGATGGTGGTGTAAATATGTTGTCGTTGTGACCGTACGATGGCCAATATAATTACAAGGTGTATAATGTTATCTTTCCTACATGTACATTTCTTGAAATTTGTATAACAAAAATAAAGGAATTTAAGTGTTGTAAGGTAGGTGCTGCAAGTGTACGCAAGTCATAGAGGAAGGGATTGTTTCTGCAGCATATTTTATTTCATCCCAAACTACTTTTGATATCAATCACTTCTTCAATTAAATTCTTTATTTTTTATTTGCAGTTAGATAAATTAAGGAAAGCTTTATCAGATCATTTCAAGACAAAGACAGAGAATGTGGAAAAGCCCCAGGTATGCAACTGTATGCAATCATACTCTTAACTAAGTGATAAGCAAAAACACAAAAAAGTTGAAGTCTTTATACATATTAGGCGTGAAATTTCATGCCATAGAAATTGTTTCTCAAACCAATAAACAAGAGTATGTATTTAAATGTCAGAATCACAAAGGATGCTTTCTTTGTTATCTTTTAGTTAGAAAATACTGCCACACCAAAATCTACAGTAGGGAAGACCCCAAAGACTCCAACCACAACCAAGACCCCTACCACAGCGAGGACCCCTAATGTTGTGAAGACACCTAATGTTGTGAAGACACCTAATGCTGTGAAGGTTGTCCCTGCAGGTAGAAAACTGAAAGATGTGAAGACTTCTACAACTATGAGTTCACCAAAACCTGCTCCAAAAGCCTCTGAAGCCAAAAAAATTCAGTCCAACACCACATCCTCTAAGTCAGGGTTTCACCAGAAAAGATCAATACCAGAAGAGCCAACTCCAGAGGTAACTAATTCTGTGTTTCTTCAAAATAAGGGAAACTTAAGTTACTATTTACATTATTCTATTACAAAATCTTTTTTGACATATGTTCTACCTTAATATCTGCCAGATATATTGAAAGGTTTCAGATGAAATATCTCAAAAAAAAATTATCAACTTATTTTCAATGTCTTATGCAATTATTTTTATAATTTTAAAGCCACCAACAAAGAGGAGAAGGTCTACTTTTGAGAAAGTCCCCACTCCTGAGTTACACTCTGACAAGGCCCCCGAGGTAGAACACACCAGAAGGAGTACATACATTGTCAAGACACCGCGGTCAGAGAAAAAGACAGTCAAAGGTAGGAAAGAGTTACCTGGTAACTAATTCCATTAAAAAAACCATTTATAATTTTACTATACAATGTACGTGTAGCAATGAAAGGTAAGCATTAGCTTAATTTCCTTTTAACAGTATGAATTATAACATGGTACTGACAGTTCACTTGATGTTGTCGTGTTATAATAATGAAAAATTCTTTCAAAACTAAACTCCTCCTACAGGTTTTACTGGATTTCAATAATACATACTAAGATACATCTTTATTATAAGTACACAACTAGAGCTACAGTCTAGTCAGACTTCTACTAAATATCCGTTTTACATATCTTAAATTCTCTGCATCATTATGACTCTTTGGGTGATGATTAAGGGAGTAACAGTATATTTTTGAGTAAATTTTACAGAAATTTGTTAATGAAACACTGCATGGTATACTGTGATTCAATAAACCGATACATTGACAAAGATAATACATGTATGTGTTGGGATGTAAATTTGTGGATAAGGTTGAACAAAAATAATACAAGAAACAATACCCGTAGTGAGCAATTAAAGGAAACGTTGGGTCTAAAAAAACTTTTTGATATTTCATTCATTGAATGGTCAATAATGAATTTTACCTGTTACTGCCATTTGTTTTAACTTAATTATAAAGTAATAAGACATCAAAGTTATGAGTAAACTGGCTGCTGGAGGCTGCCATGTTGAGAGATAAAGTTATCGCGCTTGCTAAATGTTTCCCACAATCCTCACTTTTATGACGTATTGCAGGCCATTTGGCTCTAAATGTAAACACTATCATGTCGGAATCAAGTTGTGAAAATGTGCCAATTAAGTGTGTGCAGTTTAATTTTGGATCGAATATTTTATAGTAAATATAATTTCACATTCCTATGCTTCTAGTGTTTCAGAATTCAGGAAAATAAAAGAAGGAATTAATAATAAAAAGCCATAAACTGGTCGGATTTAACTTTAATTAAAAACTTAGCTGCAAAGGTTGTATTATTTTACATGATTTTAATTAAAACTTTTTAAAGTTCTAATGTGTCAAAAAAGGATGTTAATTTAATTCCTATAAATTAACAATTGCTTAAATTAGCTTATTTCTGAAAGAAGGAATTTTATTTTTCTGCAGTCATAAACACATTGACTCTAGCCATCTGGCATTTAATCTGTCTGCTCTACGTCAGCAGCGGCGATGATAAGGTTTTCCCCATGCTGCTCCAATTAAGCTATTAAAATCCAATTTAACTGCTGTTATCAGCAGTGCAGTGTTGTTAGATGCAGCTTTTCTTTTTATATGAGAGGTACAGTTTTATATATAAAAATTTAAATTCTGACCAAACGTTCCCTTTAAGAAGCTGTTGCGTAAATTGAAGATTTTATAACACCTGGATCTGTAGCTCTCTGTTTTGTCTGTCCGAATTTTCTCAAGAAGAGAGCTACATTTCTGCAGTTACTTATTTTCTAGAACAAAGTTTTGTAAGACATGGGTTTGGAGGTTGAATGAATGTAGTGTGCCCATTTCATTAATTGAAAATTCCTTCCTGAAAATCTAATGAGTAATGATTAATATATTTTAACTTTATCTGCATTTTGTTCTTTGAAGAAATGAAGACACCAAAAGAGACTGAGACTAAAACCCAGATTCCCAGATTTGCAGCTTTTCTTGCCAAGAGGAAACAAGAAGCAGAAAAAGACTCCAAGCCAGTGACCCCAGGTACATTGAATTTGATCCTATAGTACAAACTCTAACCCTAGAGTTGGGGTCTCACAGTCAGAGGGGGGAGTTTTATACCCACATAATTGACAATTTATGGACATACATTTCTTGCTCTGTCCATCTTCACAAAAACTAACCTTGCCTATAACCTTTGAATGGCTGAGTTCTTTTATTTTTGTGAAAGTTATTACTAAATATGCAAAAAATTGATTTTTTTGCAATTTGCTCATCCATTTGTACATCATCTCAGTGTATCCCATAAAGACTTTTGATGTTGATGTAATTTGCATTTGTTATGCCATCATCTTTTGTCTAAAAGTTAAATTTTATCATTGATGTTCATACAGAGTTTCCGAAAACTATCGGTCCTACCGGCAAAACCGATAGAAAATCGAAATGTCCGATAAAATTCGCTAGAGTATCGATCCGTGTGACCGATTGTGATGAGGGCTTGTCCTGATTAATTTATTGTATTCTAATCTATTGCAATATCTTCATAAATGAAAATTTCAATGCAGCAAGCTCCTATTCTTCGTAAATATCCATAATCTTATCCATTTTGCAGTTCTACTTGACTTATTTACTAACAAAAACTATCGTTTTTTCCTAATCCGAATTTCCTCCATTCCTCTGTTGGTAAACACATGCAGTATATAGGTGATGATGTGCAATGCCCTCTGAAAAAACGTAATGATAATTTAGAATTAATTTTTACTTTGAATTTCTTTCATAACTGCTATTTATATATTATTCAATTTTACAAGTGAGAATTAAACTTTAAATTTCAAAAAGAATTCTACAAATCTTGAGAAGTTTTCTTTTTCAAGAATTAACTTTTTTTTATAATATTAATTAGTTGTTTCTTTTCCTCTAACATTTACTTGGGTCTAGTGACTTCATTGCTGCCACAAGCCTGTGTGAGCTGGTGCCATGCTTGAATTAATTATAGTTGCAAAACCCTGGTATCACAATCATGTTTGTCCACAATTTTTTTTACATATTCAATGCCATTTTCTTTGAATTACATCTGACATGAAATATACACTGTGTATTTTAAAATTTATTCGGACTGATAGAATATGCTTCGGACTGGTAGAACACATTAAGTCATCAGTCCAAATGACTGATAGAAATATTTGGTTTTCGGAAACTCTGTTCATACTTGTAGGGAAAAATAAAGACTGGAAGAAAATTCATGAAAGAAATTTTGAGAAGATGGAATCCATAGATGACTACCTTGAAAAGAAAAGAAAAAGAAATGAAAACTATGCCGATTCTGTGAAGAAGACTAAACAGATCCTGAATGACACATTAGCTATGGTGAATAAACTGAAGAGCTACAAAACCCCAACAGCAACTGTGGATGAAAAGGTTTGTTTAAATTAATCCTGTCTGGGAGTAAAACTATTGTTTGAAAGGCCAATACTTGTCAGAGAATAATCCTGAAGTACATGTATAGCATACAGTTACATACACTGCTTTAACTAAAATTAAATACAATTTCAAATCTTCAATTTTAAAAATTACCAAAGAAATTTTAAACAATGTAATATAGTGAAGATGCAATCAGTGTTTTTGTTTATAAATTTGTAGATAATACTGTTATTCTATTCTGATATAAATAAATTCACAGTAAGGTATTATTTGCATTGACTCTTACCGAGGCAGTTAAAGTAATAATAAGTGAGAGTCTCACAAGTTTGAATGCTGATTTTTTTTTTCAGAAAAAGAAATTTATCACCAAAACACCCAATGCAGAACCCTTTAAGCCAAGTGTCCTTTCAACCAAGGAGATGAACCTGAACTTCTCAGAAAGTAGGAAGTCACCCAGAACAAGTTCAGCTACCAAGTCGTTCAAACCCACAGTATTCTCCACAAAGAACATGAACCTGAACTTTTCATCTCCCACTCCCTCCAGGAAGTCTGCTTCTTCAGCATTTAACAAATCAAAGAGTAAGCTTTATTGAAAAATACACTCAGTTGCATGTTACAGTAACAGGCCCAGGAAGCATAATGTTCTAATAGCAAGCAGCATTGCTCGTCACTGCAACATGGTAAATCAATGCCAGGGTGAAGAGAAAACATTTTTGATTAAAATTCCCTCAGTTCAAACTTCAATTTGGTTATACGTGTACAATATACATACCACACAGTGACATTAGAGTCTGTAGGTAGCAAATGGCATGAGCGGTTTAACAAGCCTGGTCTAAATTAAAACTGGGTAAGTGTCTGCGATTGCCCTAACGGTTGCTCCATCAACATATTAAGTCTTAGCACAATATATCAGGATGATATTATCAACTCTTTACCGTATATATTCACCTATAAGTCGAATTTTTGGGAGTTAAACTTTACTTCAAAACTCTATGTCTGACTTATAGCTTATAAGCGAGTTATAAAAAGACGGGTATTTTAGAAGCTTAATCACTCAAATGTAAGCTTCAAAAATACAACTGACTTATAGGCAGACCGACTTAAAAGCGAGTATATGTGGTAGCTCACTTGAGCCTAAGGCTTCTTATCAAGAACAACAAAGCCATGATCATTCCTATTTATATGGAACATTCTTAAGTTGAGTTAGTTCAAATTTGTTCATATAATATCCTCTGGGTAGAAAAGGCCACAATTGAAGGTCATCAGGTCAAAATAAGAAATTCATATCTTATATAAATGGTTTCCTGGGGATAATGAATTTCTTTTGGAGGTTATGCAATAAAATTTCAATATGAAACACTCCTATTAGTTTCAAGTTTAAAGGCCAAAAACCAAGATCAGATATTTCTATACTGCACACACATACTAGTATTTCAGGAGATAACTTTCGTTCTGAGTTTTTCCACTGCACATGATTATAGCAATGAATCTTAAGGCCATGAATTTTTTTTTTACTAAAAAAAAAAGCCAAAGGTCAAAGACTAAAAGACCGAAGTTGACTTTTATTCTTTCTCCATCTGCTTTTTTCTTCATTTTATTCACCCATTTTATTTTTCCTTCAATGGTGGACATATTTTCTCTAAATTACCTTGTTTGAATTTAATTACATACATGTACTAAAATTAAAGATTGTTGGTAAGGTAGAAAATTAACTTTTGTAATTTTTTTTTTTTTCAGCTACACCATTCAAATTCAATGCCTCACTTAACAACACTTTAAATGGTTCCATGTCAGCCAAGAGACCGACCTTTGATCTTCAGGCTAGTCTAGCACGTCCAATGACCTGGAAGGCTCATAAAGGGAAGCTGAAACCTTTCAACAGTCAGGCTGCATTCAACAAATCCAACACCAGCAGTGTCAAAACCCCTAACACACAAACACGGTATGAGGATTTTTTATCCAAATTGAAATCTAAATGTACATGAAACAATATATCTGTCTTAGTATTTTTGCCTTGACTTTCCTTGTCACCTCATTTTCCTTGAGTTGCATTCAGCTAAGTTTAAATAGAGAAAATTTGTTCAAGATGTCAAATTTTATTCCAATTTTTAGCTCGAAAGCTCAAGTAAGCTTTTCTGATCACTTGTTGTCCTTCATCCTTTGGTCCGTCTGTGAACTTTTCACATTTTCGACTTTTTCTCAAGAACCAATGGCCCAATTTTAACCAAATTTAGCAGAAAGGGGAAGCATCCTGGGTTGATGGGGAGTTTAGATTGTAAAATGAAGGGCAGTCTCCTTACAAGGGGAGATAATCAAGAAAAGACAAAAATAGGAGGGGGTCATTAAAAAATCTTCTTTTCAAGAACCACTGGGCCAGAAAGGCTGAAACTTATGTGGAAGCATCCTGGGGTAGTGTAAATTTTAAATTATAAAAATCATTACCCCAGGGGTAGGGCGGGGCCACAACAGGGAATCCAAGTTTTACGTAGAATTTATATAGGAAAAACCTTCTTCTCAAAAACCAATGGGCCATAAAAGCTGAAACTCATGTGGATCCAAAGCATCCTGGGGTAGTGTAGATTCTAAATTGTTAAAATCATGACCCTTGGGGGTAGGGCGGGCCACAATAGGGAATCTAAGTTTTGCATAGAAATATATAGGAAAAATCTGTAGAAATCTTCTCAAGAACCTATGAGCCATAAAAGATGAAACTTATGCAGAAGCATCCTGGGGTAGTGTAGATTCTAAAGTGTTAAAATCATGACAGGGGAAGGGGGCACAGTAGTGTTTCAAGGGGGGAAATCTGGTAAAGAAAGGCATCAAAATTACTGAGGTGAGCAATGTGTTCCATGGGACTCTTGGGGGTTTTTTTTTGTTTTTTTTTTTTTTTTGTTTTTTGTTTTTTTTTTTTTTTGTTTTTTTTTTTTTTTTAATATTTTGCCATTCTCACCAGTAGGAGAATTTGCAATGGGACAAATTAAACAGACAAAGTTATTTTGAGCTCAGCTGTGTGGGGTGGGGGTTGGGGTATTAAACTCAAACAAAATAATTTGTGTGATCATGGTGATTGGTGAAAAAAAACAAAGCAAAAATGAATCTATGCAACATTCTCTTTATTTTCTATCTTGGCCTTTTGAAGTACATTGATCCCTTTATAATTTCTTCATTACTTTGTTCTTTCCGTGATATTTTCCATAATAAATGGTTTTTATTAAACGGTTAAACCAATATCCTAAGAATCCTTAGTTAGATATCATAGTCTTCACATTTTATTAAGAAGTAAGCTGTGAAAGTACTTGTATACAAAGGAGATGTGAAATCAACTGGGTTTTTAATTCAAACCATATAATGTATATATTACCGTTATGCATCATGTAATTTAAAAAATATGAGTAGGTAATTTCTAATGTAAATTTATTTTATTTTTGGCTTTTAGGGATGACAGAAGGAAAGAACAAACAGCCAAAAGATCAAGTGCTAAATTCCACACTGCCATGGAAAGAAGAGGGATCAAGTCATAACTTTATAAACAGGCGACAAAATGTCCCCCTAGTCTCTGACATTTTATACATCAAATCATCACTGAATTCACCGGCAGGCTGTCTAAAATTAATTGTATGTTAAACATCATCTGAAAATTCAAAGCCTATTATTGGGAGAGGAATTTCAAAGAAATGAGTTTATTCCCTTTGAATAAAAAGCTAACATACCGGTATGCGAGTATACCATATAAAATTCTTAAAAGCCCCAATGTGTCTTTTCCTATGAAATATATATTAGTTGCTTATAAATCTAGCAAAGTAGAATATATATATGTATATTTTTTATAGAGATATGTTAATTTTTTCTGTCTTAAACAGGAATTTCTTCAAAATCTTGCCATATGATGTTTGATTTAATTTTGGACAGCCTATCATTTTCAATTGTGTGTGAATTTTCATCTCGAGATTTCGATCTCAAACATCTTTTTCTCTGTGACTTTCTTCACTTCCTTCATTCTTTCAGTTCATGTTTAGAATACAAATGCACTTCTGAACAATTCTAGATTTTTTGTAAATATTGTACCATATCTGTAGGAATATGTATATTTTTAGTACATTTGTATTATCAAATGGCAGCATTGTTCATAAAGTTTTTCCCCCATTTTAATAGTGATAAGACTGTAAGGCATATTTCATGTAAAACAGCTGAAATGAGAGACATCTATCAATTACTGTTAATATAAGTACTCAGTACTAAGGACACTTTCACCTCAGGTCAGGATTTAATACGGTACATTTGCTGCTAAGATATAAGCAAGCCCTTAACTTTTGCAGCTACAAGTGATCCATGTTGGTAGAATATCTCTTCACTCCTGTATTTGAATGTGTATCATATTGTATCTATTTGCTGTAAATATTGTATCTGTCTGCATGTATCCCTTGATGTTTAAGACTGCATTCTGCTCACATTATGAAATCAGGTTTATTTAACTTCTGTTTATTGCTGTTGTAATGTATGTAATATCATCCTGAAAAGTGAACTTTACCAGTATTATCCCACAAATAATACAATGTATGTCATGTCTGAGTTAGTTCTGCTGGTATTTCATCATCAAAAGTTGTACATTTTTCCCCAGTAAGCATATACATGTATATTTGTATTGCATCATTTTCCCCCTCAATTCTGTAGGCTGTATTTAAAAAAACATAAATGTTCATTATACATTGTATCATAGCATCTTAACTTTTCTTGAAATTTATTTTTAGCAACTTTTTTTTATATTTTGTTTTATATCATACACATAATTTGATTTTTAAATGCAAATCAGATTTTACTTCGTCTGTTAAAAGAGTCAGTATTTTATAGTAGAAATAAAATATCTAAACTAGAAATCTAGCTATACATCTAGCTTATTTATTCTTGTGTTATCTCCAACCCATAGGTACAATGCATCTCAAACAGAGACAACAGATATTCTAATGGAACCGGCAAAACTTTATTCATTTTTAAAGTGTAGTTATAATTTAATGACATATTTAGGGATGCATATACCAAAGTGCAGGCACCCGAAGATTTTTCAATTATAATGATTGTATGCAAAATTGTCCCCTCCCGCACACATTACAGGATAAAACAACATTCCAGATTTCCACTGTATGACAAGATTCTTGAATATACAATATCTGTATTTTACTGTAAAAATATGTAATTCTTGGGCTTTATTTTAAACTTTTAAAAAAGTTGCAGGTGCCTGTAATCAGGGGTAGCATAAGACTGTTACTTTATTAGTACAAGATAACTTATAAAAATATTGTAGACAAATGGCCTGTCAGATAATCCTAGGACTGATGCATACACCTAGCCTGGCCTTGGATGAGTTATTTGATGTACCTTTTGGCCTATAGCATGAAAACAAGTTGAGTGTGTAAATTTTTATATGGCAGGTGTCATCTGCTTGTCAATTAATACACATTCTAGAATCCTTTTAAATTACAAATGATTTCATCCAGTACATGCATCTCGTATGAGTCTCTGGTTTGCAACCATTATGCAATACATTCCATATTGAGTTTAGATAGTTCTATAGATATATTTTTTTAAATAATAATAATAAAAGTAAGCATCCTTTCAAATAAAACCGTCACAGTCTATAACACGAGGAAAAAATTAGCACATTGATTTTCCAGTCACCATATTTTGAGAGCACGTCAAGGGTAATTTCACACCACGGTCCAGCAAGTTTATCAGTTCTGCACAGCTTTGACAACAGGCAGCACACGGGCTTAGGAGACAATAAAATAACGCACAGATCAGTCCAATCGGCCATCCAAACACGATCAGAATCACGGCCCACATGACACTCCACAGTAATCCACAGTCACCCATCGCACACTGTAAAAAGAGGACTTCCTTATCTTGTTATTTACTAACTGAACCCATTACTATCGGCAAAAACAACAGTTGTGCTTAGTGCTAAAGGATTTAAAAGTATTTACGTTTTACATCAATTTCAAATCTGAGAGAAAGTAACTGCAGAAGATACTGTCACAATAGTTTAAACATGTACATTGTACAGTCACTTAGTCAGGCCATTGTAGTTGAACAGTGTGTTGAACTGTTGACTAATCTGCACAAGTTATTACAGTAAAGCCTCGAAACACAATACGAACCTCTGATTTGCTTAAGCAGGACAAAAACTGGAAGCTCTCATGTGTATTCCATTATCTCGTCAGGTTACAGAAACGTCCTATTTGTCACAGGCGTCGGCGCACCTCAGCTCCGTTTTTGGTCGAGTTCTTTTTCGTTGTTGACACTTACAACGGGAAATAACTCTAGAAACTACACTGAATCGACAGGTGGATCTTGCGAAGAACAAGGGCGAATAAAATATCGGATCTGCCTACTAACACAATTTAACCTTGCATAATCTTATTTTTGACATATCAAAATCGTCGTATATGTCAAGTTTACATGTATCCACGTCCGATTCGAATCCTCTCAATATCGCTTGGCAAGTGTCCGATTCGAATCCCATTGTTTCCCCCAGTGTCCACAGCCAATTCGGATACCATCATTCACTGTTTTTAACATTTCACCGTATTTTACTTTATGTTCCAAAATACTTTTTAAATCATTGCTCCCAAGTTTTTATTCTCACATCTTTAAAGATTTGAATATAAAATAGACGGCTTGTCTTGCTTACATACACCCCCAGATGTCTTGCAAAAATCACGATTTTGTGAAAATTTAGTGATATACATTAATCAGGTAAGCATTTCGGTCTATAAGTCCCCTTCCTTATAAACTTCCAAAGAAGATGGGTGAACCAGGATGCCTATCTTTTATAAATCATATTTAATGTGTGATTAAGTATAAAAGTAAAGCTCTCAATATTATAATGCATGAAATCATGTAATTTTTTTTTATTATTTTTTTCCGAAATAAGGAAACTGGGAGATAAGCCGAGCCCTATGCCTACATGTTAATGAAAGATAAAATATTAACAAATCTGTTTTTCACAAATTCATTTTTTGATGAATTTATGTAATTCTTATTAACATTTGCATACATTGCTAATGCCTTGATTAACCCAACAAAATGGCAGGAGGCTCAATTAATTTTCACAATATCTACATTTTAAAAGAAGAGTGGGTCATCCTACTTTTTTTTTTAGAACGAATGACGAAAGGCAATTTTTTTTTCTTTTTTACTTTAAGAGTCTTGCAAAAATGTGGTACGAAGATCCTATCTACATAAAAAATTAAGTTAACTCAATAACTTACTTATGGACTGGTTATATGAAATACAAGTCCAAATACGCCTGCTAATTGTGGAGAACTGTATATGCTTTCTAAGTTACTATGAATGTGTGACTGAGTGACCTAGTGGTTTGCAAGAGGCTCTTAAAACGGACATTCTATATAAATATAAAGAGGAAAGTGTTCGAATCACATTGTAGTTTTGGGGGAGGTGTTTCTTTAATATTAATTTGCACAGCTGCAAAAGGGGCGTGGGCCCCCTCCGAATTATTTTCCAGTTTAGCAGTAAGTTTTCTCAGATGTCAACATCAATCATATCAGACCATTTTATTGCCTAGTATCATAAATCATTATTCCATGCGCGGATCTACAGGAGGGAGGGGGGGGGGGGGAGGGAGGTCCGGACCCCTGGAATTTGTTGTCAAGAAATGTCTGGGTTGGAAATTTTTTTTGACTGGGGTGGACCCCCCTGGAAAAAATTCCTGGATCGGCGCCTGATTATTCAAACATTATTTTGATAACCTAGTTCTGAAAATATATTTTAAGAAGAATAAAACGTACGTTGATTTTACTACTGACAAATAACTTCTGTGGGAGATATCACAGGCACCTGAAGTATGGATAATACCCCTAAAAATATAAAATTTCCCCGTCAAACACATCTATATGTCGTTATATGCAAGCAGATTGTACTTATCTCAATTTTAAAGAATGGCCCTATTCGGTATAATAAAAATATTTGACGGGGAAATTTTATATTTTTGAGATATTTTACACTCTTACATTTTTTTTTCATTAAAAAAAGGGGGGTCACTTCAGGTGCCTGTGGGAGATATCGGAGATTACATCTCGGTATTGGTACTTTTGCGGAATACATGTACTCTTAGATTTCTATTACATATTTACTGATTTGCTTTAGGAAGTTATTAATATAGTTTGTTAATATCATGAAAAACATACATGTATTACAAAAACGAAGTATTCGTTATTTAGCAGTCTCAACCGCTATTTCTTAAGTATTTTTAACTTCCTTATTTTGAACCATTACAAAATTATTTTGAAGCATTACAGTGCTCTGCACTGACAGAATTCAAGGGGTCAATATAAAGGAGAAACTGTAGCTTTATTCTGGTTTTATTATTTCATCTCAATACTGACAGTAGTATGCACAACACACAAAAAAGATATTCTCTGTTAACTCCTCACAGGCATATGACACCCTGGATATCTGGGGGTCTTTGTTTTATTTTAAGATTTCAATCATTTTAATTTTTGTTGTTGGGGGGGGGGATCAATCACAGTAATAAGACACAGTTTTTTATCATAAGATTTTCATTGTAAGGATAAACTAATTGACATTATGACTGGATTTATTAAAGAGAAGTGTGAGGATGAAACTAACTCACTATTGACATTTTACAGTAATGGATAATTACTGAATTTTATGAACAATACAAACAAATTATACCCCATTACACATTTTTTTGTAGATTCAATGTTTATTAGGCAGTGTAAATAGACATACTCTGCTCAATGCATATCAGTCCTCCTCTTTACAGTCATCTTGTTAAGTCCACTTCACAAATCAGTTGATGTGTTTGCAAATACATGTATTATAAACACAACATTCATATATATCACAATTTCTATGTTCATTTTCACATTTTATCTTTTAGATCCACTTTTTTCTCTCTTCTTATCCTTTAGTGTCTTGATTTTCTTTATTTCCTTATATAACACATTTTCTCTCACTGTAAAAGATTAAAAATTAAATAAAAAAAAAATGGTTTTATATGAACATCATTAGTTCATGTTTAAAAAAAAAGTTTGTTTGTACTCTCCTTACCAAATGGCTAGAAATAAGAATGATGCAACTCAAAACTGTTTTTGAACCTTCCAGACCACAATACTTTTGTTACTCCTGAATTTTATTTTCATTCTGTCGACAAATATTTTAAGATTAAAAACAAATTTTTCACCCACCTACCTGCCAACAAAACTTTTTTTTACCTTTAGTCTGGAGAGGACAAGCAAACATTATTTAAAAGATGATCTTTTACTAGTATAATATATGTTTTCAATCCAGGTATATATTTATATGTACATCATATGAGGAGGTCAGATACATCACAAAGGTATTGAATGTTAAAAACCTGGTTGAAATCTTGATAACATTTAAAAAGAAACAATTTGTAAATATTACCTAATGGATCAAACAGTACAGCCTCTCCTGGTCCATCAATACGTGGCCGTAAGCGTACATATTTATGTTTTGTCCCTGCTAAACTTTCTAATAATACCAAGACAGTCCTGTAAAGATAACATATTAGGTTTATATGTACAAAATATACATTTTAATGTCTTATGGTAAAATCTGGTGATCTTCAAATTCAAATAAGTTTTAAATTAATTATAAGAAATGTAAATTCAAAAGCTTTAAGTTTTGAACACAATGTTTGCATAAAAATCCAGATAGTACCTATTATTTATATGGCACATGAACTTGAGGTTGGGCTGGGACAATATATCATGAATATTGATTCCGTGTGAGGATGATATGCATATGCCATTGGATACATTTGAAGAAATATAAAAATTATTGTCTTACATGTAACACCTCTTGCGTAGAATAATTTTGTTTTATTAACAACAGATATACAACTTTGAATAAATTATTCTCTTATTTGTGAAGATTTGTCTGGTTAAATTCAATACAAACAAGCACTTGGAGAGTATTGCATAAGCAATACTGTAAAATCACATATTTTTGTGGGGTCAAATTTTCATGGTTTGAAGAAAATATCTTAGTTTGTGTGGATTTGATTTCGTGGATCAAGAATTTATGATTACTTATGTATGTAACATTTTACATTTCGTGGTGGATATGAATTCGTGGGTCTCGTCAGACCCCGAAAACAACGAAAATGAACCCCCCATGAAAATCGGTGATTTCACAGTACATGTCTTGGGACAACCCCTCACCACAGCTAGAATGCCTCCCATATACTCTCGATGTAGCAAAGAATTGCAAAATCTCTCCAAAACTATTTTGAAAATATAAAACTTTAAGGATTTGGGTTAAATAACTACCAAATTAATTGAAACAAACCTTCTTGAAGTTTTGTAATAAATTGTATGCTTTAAACCTATTAAAAAATTATCAACATTAAGACGAAAATTCAACTTATTTTCTCAACGGTTTTTATTGCTTCATATTTACACAGAACTTTCTTTCATAGAATATGACATTTGTCAGTGTTTTCCCTAAGAACCGGCTACCGGCAAAATTGACCACTTCAATTGACAAAAATGCTGCTTTGAAATAAAAATTTGTTGTAAGGTCTATAGAGATTCTGTTCCTAAACCTCTGCCCCTAGCCTGTTACAACTGATCTCTAACCCTTTATTATAGTTTGCAGCTAACTGTAAAGTTTCACATTACATCACGATCTTTTTCGTCAGATGCATCCAGCGTAAACAATTCACGTGATCGGTCAACTCAAATTATCAACATTGACATGGAAATAGTCTGTTGCACAAGCAACCAATCAGGGATAAGAACAAAGTTCCAGTTGTAAAGCTTGCGGTTAAGAGGCGTGTACAATTTATCTGAGCGCAGCTGTCAACTAGATCGTGACGTAAAGTGAAACTTTACAGTTAGCTGCAAATTATAATACTTTGAAATAAAGGGAAAACACTGAGTTGTATTAAGTTTGAGTTATTTTTATTTCCTTGCTACTTTGCGGCCAATACACAAAGTGCATTCTGTTGTTTAACTGGGTCCGTAGGACATTTATCATTTTAATGATAGATTATTCTATCTATTTTGTCAATATAAAGCTACCAAGGAAATCAATAATTTTTTACATGACAGTCTGGTTTCGGACATTAAATAAGTGCGGCATGCTGATCGTGAACCCAATTATAACAAAATTTAAAAATTTATCAATTATAAGATATACCCGGTACATATACAGATGTTGTGTGTTCCATTGCAAAACTTAATAATATTCACTGCCAATGTTTACGGGTCGAGTTCATCAAATTCCATGAGGATTTAATTCAATTATTGTAATTAGTTGGAGATCAGAAGGTGAGAATTTATTAAATGACGTGTTGCTAGTCAAAACCAGCAAATTACTTACTTAGATGGTGGTATTATAATTAGCGTGGTGTTAAAATAATTCATATATATATTAATTATATATATCGATGTTTCGCAAAGCGACATAAATAAAGCGAGCAACAAATATAACGTGTAAGAACAAAGGAAATTCGGATTCAAAATTTACATACGTCAGCCAAATTTCTTTGTGCAACATTCCCAGAATTCCTACACTACCCAATGTCCTTTGCGTGAATATTGCCGAATAAATAAATAAATAATAACGTAATGCAGGCTTTCAGTTTGTAGAAATCTTTCAAAGAAACAAGAAATAACTCTGCAATGTTTTTCGACAAAAATTGCACTAGTTCTATAGTTTCAAATCAGAAAATAGCTGTCTCCGTAAGCTTTCCGACGAGCTTTGTGACGTCGTATGACGTCACAGCTAGTAGATTTCCTTCGTGCGGCTTGACGTTCGAAATGGCTGATCTCAAGTGTTTTTGATGGTACAACTGCGCTCGCCCCAACGGTCACACCGTAAAACATATTATATATCTATATGTTTACTTCAAACGCAGACATAAATAATTATGTCTCTGCAACAAATATAATCTTGAATGAAAAAAAATGTTTCTAAAAATATCAAAATTTACATCATGTAACATGTTTAAAATCTAAAATTTTGTTCAACGAATTTCAGTAGGCTAGCACATGTTTAACAGTTTGTACAACAATGCGGGGCGAACCATCTTAGCGCGAAACGGAATCGGTGCGAAACATCGTAGCACGAACCATGCATAGGTGCGAAACATCCCGTTACCCATAGTCAGATAATTCTAAAGTTGGCAGTTTTTGCTAGATTTTAAGGTAAATTTAAAATTACAATAGCGATTTAATTCAAACAAATTTTCGAACATTATAATATATTACGTTCCTCACGTTTCTATTATAAGGGAAAATAATTTTTCACTACATACTTTCCTTTCGATGACATTCTGTTCAATGTTAGTTTACTTCTTGAATCTTAATACATTTCCTTCTTTCCTTGAAGCGTCTATGGGATCTTGTTTTTAGATAAGTTATACTTTTTAAATTCGATAGCCCACAAAGATTACCCACTTATATATTTGTTCTATTTTTCAACCGCTATAGATGACTTTTTATAAACAAAGCTGACAAATTATAATTTTAGAAAAGGAAATCGATTCAATATTATTTAGACTAAAAACTGTACGAAAATCAAACGAACGCGTTCAAGCGAATGCAACTAAACCGGAAGTTATTTTCCGGATTTTAACGAAAACTCACGAATGCCACGTTAGCAAGCAAACGTGCTAATACGAGTGACCATATTCAGAGTTTTATCGAGACTTTTGTGCAAGATGGATGTATTGCATGTATTGTCCGTTTTGATTGTTTTGACAGTTGTTTCAGTAGATTCGCTCATGTTTCACTTGGGCGCAAATCAAAAGAAATGCCTTAAAGAAGAGATTCATAAAGATGTTTTGGTAACCGGCGAATATCAACTCTCAGATGTGCCAGGTCACAAAACACAGCTTCTGGTACAGATATATTATATATCTAACTATTCAAGAGTGAATCTACGTGTAAAATGTTTGAGAATTGGTTAAATTCCTTTAGGAACAGTAATAGTTTCAACTGTTTTTAAATGTAAACACTAAACTTTAACAGTGCAATGAATATTGTTTACTTTAAAATTTTTCACAATAAGGTCATTTGTAGCTAGCCTCATGTTCATAAAACTGTAAATGTAATATAATGATGCTGCCTTTGTTAAAGCGAACACAGCTACTTATTCAGTTTTAAACTAATTTGTACTGATCAAACCACATGTGCCATTTGCTAGGTACAGACTCTGCCATCACATGGAGTTTTCTGTATTTTTGCATTACCAAATCAAAGTCTGAACACTGCGAATTTAAATCAAACAAGTTAAATTTACTATTTATCTGTTATATACATCAATTAAAATCAAGAGGATTTTATCTTTTTCTTGGAATGTCTTGTTACTGCAACAACAATGTTTGCGGTGAGACACAATTTGCTAAGTATTCATGGTGGACACTTTTTCCTGTTAAATATATGTTGCCAAGCTTTTAGAAAGGAAATAGTTTTTTTCTTCAGTTCTTTTATTTGTTACACTAATATCTGGTATATATCGTAATACTGTAAAAGTTGAAACAGGGCTAGACAAATAGCATTGCCCGACGTCCGGGACAACAATTTTTTGTTGGCGGGCAAGTATTTGATAACAGGTGCCAGCCCGCGGACAAGTGATTTTCCAATTAACAAAAAAAGATCTTGTACGATACTCAAATATTTTTTTGTGTTATCGCTTTTAAAGTATAAATCACAGCAAAGCACCTGTTTTCGCTGCTGTTAACCACTGCATCAGCTGTACATACAAACATCGAATGGTTGGAATCCTCTAGAATTTACCCATGTTAAAATATGCAGATGTCGTAAAACATGAAGTTATCGATGTCGTCAAAAACGGTGTATGAGAGTTTAGACATTTATTGTCAAAATATTAAATTATTACTGTGAATACAGATGCTTGTGGTGTTAAAATTGTTGTTGATTGCTGTTCCCTGGCAAGCACTCTGCCATGATCTCTTAATCGATATTACATGCAGTAGTGTTCTGTTCACAGATTTGTGTTGTTTTTAGGTTTTATGAGATTGATCACTGTCCGATATCTTCACCTTTTCCATTAAATAAATACAACATTAATTTAAAAAAAGGTGTATCTTATTGCAGAATTTTGAGAAAGAATACCCCTTAAAATACAACATTTCTCTCTAAATTTATCTGTGGAAGAATTTCGTGATTTTAAATCTAGGATGGTCTTACTGTAGTGTTTAAGTGTCTCACTCAACACTGCTCAAGAAATAATTTTATATCAATGCTTCATTACTGTATAATTTAAGAAAAAGGGGGGACAAGCATGTTTTTTGGTAGGACAAGTAGTTTTACAATGGTAACCTGTCCGAGGGCAAGTACTGCAAAATTCTATTTGTCTGTCCCTTGTGAAACTTGGATGATGTGAAAATGTTGACAAATTTGACGGATTTTTAATTATCATCAAAGTTTTCACTCATTAACTTTTGCATTCCTGTAAAAGGGCACTGTTAGATACTAGTAAATCGTCAAAGTTTCCACTCGCCATTTTTCTAATTTACAGAAGTTGTCAAACTTTCATTCCTTCAATATAACCACTTTAACATTATTAAATTGTATGTTTTAGGTGACAGATTCCAAGGGCCATATTCTTTATCAGAAAGATGATGCAAAGAAAGGAAAGTTTGCTTTCACAACAGAGGAGTATGACATGTTTGAAATCTGCTTTAACAATAGAATGCCAGGTGGTAAGTACTTGTTATATAACTTATGGCTAGCTATTTATATGAACAAGATTAATTATGGAATATATGTACATGATAAAATTTACAGTAAAACTCCTTTAAATCCAAGTCCTAGGGACCTGTAAATTTACTGTATCTATAATTTGTAACATCCAAAAAAAAAAAATTAACAAATTCGTTAATACAAAAATTTCAAATTTTCAATATTAAGGTATATAATTATAGTAAATATGTGAACATAAGAAGCCCAGATCTGTTCATTTTATGTAAGTATACTTTCTTACAAATTTTCTTTGTATGTTTAAGGTGGCCAGAGTCCAGATAGAGAGGTTTCCTTGGACATGAAACATGGAGTAGAAGCTAAGAGCTATGATGAGGTAAATACTGATAGATAAAATGTATTATCACAAATAAAAATGATAAAGATTTACATTACCATTTACCGGTAAAAATACAATAGGATTATGAGAAACATAATGCAATAAATCTGGTAAAAATTTTGAATTACTACTATTTTACACTTTCAAACAAACGAAAAATTCTTCTGCTCTGTAGGCTACACAAAAATGTGTGAACTAATGTTCTAATAGGCCTTTCTTCATTTACCTTATGAATTTATGTTGCAGCTAGCTAAAGCAGAAAAGCTGAAACCATTGGAAGTAGAGTTGAGACGATTAGAAGATTTATCAAAGTCTATTGTAGATGATTTTGAGTACATGAAAGCCAGAGAAAAAATGATGAGAGACACTAATGGTAAATGTCTGCAATTCCAGCTGGTATTTGGGCTGGAGCTAATTTTGTAGCCTTGAAAAGTATTTTTTGCTGTAATACAAATTAAGTAGATAATGCTTTACATATCTAACACCCATATGTCTACATAGGGTATAGATATAATTATAGTAAAATTGATATTAATACATAGGAAACACATGTATTTTAATGTTTGAGCCTTTATAGTGGACACAGATATATTGAATTCAGGCTTATGACAAACTCATTATTCACCAAGAAAATAATCAAGTACACTGTATAAACTTAAATAATAATTTACAGACTTGACAGCTTTCATCTGTCCCAGACTATAACTAATGTTTTCTGCCAAAGTCTATATGTAGATACAATTTCGCCACACCTTGTTTTAAAATAATCTTGATCTGATTTCAGAATCCACCCACTCCCGTGTGATGTACTTCAGTATCTTTTCAATGTGCTGTCTACTTGGACTAGCTACATGGCAGGTGCTCTATCTGAGGAGATTTTTCAAGGCCAAGAAACTCATTGAATGAACACACAACAATATAGGACTATTAGGAACATTTTTATTTATTTTGCTTCTGGGGTCATTTTTTACTAAAATTCAAGAGCAAATTCTTATTTTTGGGATTGGTTTATATAGTAATTTATATCTATTTTAGATGTTAAATTTTGTAATTGGAATAAAGAATATTTAATTATTGATTGAAAATGATTTTTTTTAATCTTTTTTTTTCTCCCTCGAAATTAGCTTTAATAAATTATTTTTGCCTACTCCAAAATTATGAGAAAGTTTTTGCGATTTAAAATTGTCAAATTATGTGACATTAAAAATGTTTCATTTTGATCTATGATGAGGCAACTACATGTAAATAAACATGTTGAAAGAAGTGTAAGTTTATTCACAAGTTTGAAAATGTGCATAGTGATCTTTTGTGAGAGTGTGTATGTTCTATGATGAACCAAAGGTGTTCCCATTCAAAACATGTACATATGATGTATTTTAACAATATTTGATGAAAGTTTCACATACTAGAATCACTTTTGTTGAATGTAAATCACAGAAGATTAAGTTTTGTTATTTGCATATTTTAATCAGTCCTCGTAATTTTCACTCATTGTGTGAAATGTGCTGAAATACTTGCTAGCCAGGATGATCAATTTTTCAGTTTAAAAATTGCAATATTTATCAACCCTGATAAAAGTTGCTTGTTTTAAAGTTTAAGTGCATAGTAGGATTGAATATTCTTAAACTTTTCATAAGTTATGAAGATATAATGATAGAAAATTAATGCAAGTTTTATCTAACAATATTACCAGGTTTAACATATTGTAGAATAAAGAGGCCTGGACTGATCTCTGTGTAAATACATGTATATGTATAAGAACTACATGTACTGCTTCTTTATTATTTTTTTTTTTTTGATGTGTAATCATTACTGTTTGGTTGTTCAGGGTTTAGATTATTTATTTCTCTTTATATACAACACTTTAACTGGTAATTTCTGCAGGTTGAAGTTGCAATTTCACTCTTCAAAATGACATTTTTAGAAATGAAAACTTTCTTTGACAAAAAATTCCAAAAGAATTTTATGCAATATTGTTCGGCACTTAATATTTTCTAGAACTTTGAAAATAGCAGAAATTGCCAGTGAAATTTTAAAAAGGAATTATAAAATAGCTATTTTTGTACTATGGGTTTATTTAGAGTGATTGTTTACATTCCTTTTAGTTCCCAAACATAATACATGTACCCTTATAAAACTTGAATGTTTAAAATAAAAGTTTATCCAGAATGTTTGACTTTATGAGAGGCATATAGAATGCAAGTCTTTGATGTGTTTTCTCGACTCATTTTTTCAGTTTAATGATTTTGTTTCAATGAATATTTATAAACAATCTGTCATCTTTTAATATTGTTACTTGAAATGAATAAGTGTGTGATGAATGTTTTGTGTAAGTAGTTAAACAACATCAAGTATCTGTGAAAAGTTTTATCAATGAATGATAAAAGTTTGATGTAAAAACATTACCACTTTGTTTTGAATTAGCTCTCAAAGGAAGAAAAAAAGAGTTCTTTCTTTTTCGGCTCACCTCGGTGAAGTTAGGGGGAGCTTGTTTGATACCCTCTGTGCCAATGTCGGTGTTCACTTTGTAGGTTAAAGTGTTTGGTGCAGTTTTCTCTTAAGTACTTCTAGGACCTACATGAATCAGAGATGCAAGGAGGATGCTTCTAGTGTGTTTCATTGTACCAGCCAAGTTTTCAGTTGCTGCACTATCAGGAAAAGAATGATCTGATTATGTTTTTGGAGCAGGTTCAAGTTTTGGGTGCAGGTTAATGTTTTGGTGTAGGTCCCATTTTAAAATAATAAGTCCTGATTATGTTTTTGGAGCAGGTTCAAGTTTTTGGTGCAGGTTAATGTTTTTTTGAATCCAAATTTTTATAGATGATGCAACAAGAGATGAACACTCTAAAACTTGCCTGAGATGCTGGATTTGAATTACTGAGTACATTTTCTGGATGAGTCACAAGTTTGAAGTTTTGGATAAGTCTTTTCCCAAGAAATAGCCAACCCTATCAGATCAAAACTGCAGAAATGTTGCATCTTGGGATGTACACTTGTAGATAATTAGATTAATGTGGGACTTTGCCTTACTTGAAGACAACAACCTTTGAGGTGAACCTATTTCTTTGGGGAAAAGAGGTGGGGGTAAGGCGTTTATTTCTTTGACTTTTGATACCAACTGAACACAAATATTTGCTTTCGAAGGGGGGGGGGGGGTGTCAAAGGGCACTTGCAGTTGGGTTGGTATAAACATATAATTGCTCTGCAAATTCCGGGGTTCCGGGAAAAAAATGTAGGAATCTATTTCTCAGAAAATTCTACTTTTAGACTTCATGGCAACACTGTACTTCGATATTAAAATTAATGCAAAATCAAGGCCTAAAAATTATGACATGGTTTAAAAGTTCTTAATTTGTTTCATTGAATGAAATTTGTTCAAAATATCAAATATAGTTTTCAATTCTTCCAAACTTTGCTAAAATCAGAAATTGTGAGGTGAAGTACATTCTGGCAATGTCAGGGGTCCTGAGACATTGTCGTTACATGTAATACTAGTATATATTCGAATCATGGTTTGGTAGTGTGGATCAAAGTTCTGCATAGGAATATGTAGAAAACAAGAAGTGTTTGTGAAACACTTATGTCCCCGTGTGGCAGCTCTTAGAGAAGGTTGATTTTTCTCAATTTATAAATGCAAGTCGAGGGATGAAAAAAAGATGTTACCCAAAGAAAATATGAAAGCTCACGCACTATTGATTAATAAATTGCTGCCAAGATTAAAATTTTGTAAACGTGGGTAAAAATCCAAGGTCATAGGGTCGAATCAAAGGTACTTAGGGAAAGACCTTGTCATAAAAAATACACATGTAAAAAATTATATTAACAAGAAATGTTTGTAAAACACTTATGCCCCCCTCCCCCAAATTGGAATTTTTCTAAATCCAAAAGGGCATAACTCTGTCAAAAATGGCGCGATTGTACCCAAAACTGAATTTGACAAAGATGTTTATCTGAAAATCTGTATACCAATTTTCATGTCAGTATGTGCAACCTCTGCAAAGAAAATGAACCGAAACTGCAAATAATTGGAATTTTTCTGAGTCCAAGGGACATAACTCTGTCAAAAATGGTGCGATCGTACCCAAAACAGAACTTGACCTAGATATTCATGTGATATATCTGTATATATATATATATATTTGTGCAGCGGTTGCGAAGAAAATGAACGGAAACTAAGTGGACCGACAGACCGACCGACAGACAGCAGCAAAGCAATATGCCCTCCCTTCTTCGAAGGGGGGCATAAAAATATCGAATCTGTTCAAAAGTTATGACCAATGTTAAAGTTTTTCAAAAGTATGTCAAACTCCATCGTCAATGTTGTTGGAAGGAAGGCCTTGTCAATGGGATACATAAAAATTCAAAAATTATGTCCAAGATTAAATTTATTAAAAAGATTATCAAACTCAAAGGTCAAGGTCAAAATTATTTATACCTATGAAAAGGTCTTATCACAATATAACATGTGAGGTATGAAAGCGGCTAGCACCAATTAACTGTTCAAAAGTTATAGACAAAGTCAATGTTGGGTAAATTTTTGCAAAATTTGGTCAATTAAAATCTAAGGTCAAGAGGTCAAATATGTTGATACCCAAAGAGAGCCCCACATGGAATATGCTATAGCTCCAACCAATTAAAACTTACGGGCAATGTTTAAGTTTTTGCATACAAATAGATAAACAGACATACCGACGGACAGGACAAAACTATATACACCAGGAACTTCGATTTCTAGAGTGTAAAATGTTGTTTCTAAAGATATCCATAGCACATGAATCCTTTGTCCAAAGGTCATAGGGATGGTGGAGGTCAGAAAATTATGACGAGACCAAATTGCTTGACTCGAAAATAAATATTGTATAAATATTCACATCAAATATTTTATAAGATTTTTCTGACAACATCAAGAACTGCGAACACCTAGTGGCACTTTGTTAGAACTGTTGAATGTAAACCATATTTTGGGGTATGTACAAGCTTTCTATTATTCTTTTATCATCTCGATGGAGGATTTTTACAATATTTAAAATGGTATAAATTTTGTATTTAAATACTTGAAATACCCCGCTAGTTATTTCTTTGTTTAAAAAAGGTGTTTGTTTTATTGCTGCATTGTTAAAATATTAAAATTTGCTTATCATGCATTTTATCTTGCAGGAAACTATGTACTTCATAGCCATGATCAATCAAGTACCTAGACAAACCGTTCTATCTGAAATGATATTGTCCTACGGACCTGGTTTAAATAAAATCCACAAATGTTTCCTTTCTGTATGTATATACGGAAGTAGAAAAATCAAGTCATTCAGCTGGTATAGAATAAACATTTTCTTTTGTTAAATCGAATTAACAGAAATATAATTAAAATAAAACCATGACTGAAGAATGTTGTTCAATGTTGGACAAAGCAGTATTCTGGATATACAAACAAACTGAAACAATTATCATACATACAAATATCAGAATCTGCGAGTTGATAATTATTAAAACAACATTCAAGTATGAACATGCAATTATTGCAGGTTTTTTTTTCATCCTTTGACTTATCTTGGCCATTGGCGTTGTTATCAAGTTTATGAAATTTATCAGATCATATCTTAAAAATTGAAAATCTTTAATAAATATTGTTAAAAACAATTTTTAAACATCCGGAAGATTAAATAATCCAGAAATTGTACAGAGGATGTCAGATCAATGTTTATACCATCTAACACTTTATATCCAACACATCATTCGGCTTCCATAAAAACAGTCCTAAATATCACTTCATTTCGATTAATCCATGGGACCTCTGTTATTGAAGTATTTAACGTTTCTTCAATTTGTCTATTTTATGTCCTCCTTTTAATCCTACATAGACACCGACAGCAAACCCTGCTAGAAATGTGAACGTAACGATCCAAAACAACGCCTTCCCTTTAACCTCTATCTCCAGACCATCTTCTCCAATCTCAATGTCCAAGTCTGACATTTCTATGTCACGGGTCTAGTCTCACGAGTGACGATCAATGTAACAACATGCAACCACTTGACTAAACGTGACTATAAGTGATACCGGTTAAGGTGATTGCTTATGTTTGTAAAGGGGAACAAGGCAGTGGGTTACAAAGCTAACATCGAGAAATGCTATATTTTATCATGTAGAGCTAAGAAGTATATAATTACTATAGGACTTAGGTAAACATAATGTTATAGATCGAGATATTAAGGTCCGCAGGTACGTATAGCAGGCCCCTATACATATAGGAACTCCCCTGATGAGTTTACCCGATATATATACTAATCAAAAAGAATTTTTTAAAAAGCCTTTTACGCTTCTTTTGAATTTTAAATGTCTAATATAAAAAAAGTCCTTGTTTTACCCTGGGAGATCCAAAACAAGTGTTAGTTCAAAAAGTAAAATAGGAGGTGTACAGTAGCATTATGTAATAAAGAATCTGTTAAAGTACATGTATGTATATCATTCAATTTTATTCAGTGGTATAGGAGGAGTTGCGGATAAGAGACGCTAGCATGGGTACCCCTCAATATTATATAAATGGTGCCTGTTTTGGAGGGTAACAGTTGAAACTGCCACCCCTCGGAAAACCATTGTCAACCGACGCGTCAGCAGAGGTTGACAATGGTTTTCCGAGGGGTGGCAAAAATATGTGTTTATTATACAAAAATTAAAAAAGAAAAAAATCGTCGATCATCTTTACGTTCACGTTTAGAAAGCTTTCAAACTCCTCGCTACTTCTAAAAAGATTTACTGACCTTTTTATTGTTTGTTTGATACTCTAAGAGTCTTTTATCATATAAAGTTTCATTATTTTTGCACTCGCAAGCGCATGATTCGTCTGTCATTTGTTGTTTTCAAGTACATCGGACGCAAGCTTTTAGTGACGTCAAGTTTATTCCAGTTCTTTCAAACGCGCAACTGACGTTTTGAGAATTCTACGGTGAACCGTACGCGCATAATATCCACGCATGTGGCATTACCGTTGTGTTACCCGTTGTCACATGCGTTGTTAAGGCTGAGGGTAATAGAACGGATTGTTAACTGCGTCTAAACCAATCAGATTTTAGTATTTAACATGAAAGTATAATAAAAGGTCATATTATCTATACTGAACGGTCGGATATACATGTCAATAAGAGACATAAATAAAATTGACTGACGCAAAAATACTTTTTTGTACCATTTATAAGGACTATGAAAGGGAAATGTGATATCGGCCCGGTTTACTATAACATATGTGTTCAAGCATTTTTGTCAAGTAAAATAGATAAATTACATGTAATCTATTTAGACAAGAGACAACCTAGAAAAACACCATTCTGAAACAAAGCACCTATGATTGTGGTGAGCTTGACCCTGAGTGGCTGCGCGACACACGTTTGTTGGCTCAGGTGAGCTAAAACAGTATCACTACTGTATATACGGTAACTAAGCGAAAAAATCACAAGAGTTAAACCAAGTAACTCTTGGTAATAAGGCGAGCAGGTTTATTATTATTTTTTTTTTTTTACAACAAAATCAATGTAGAATGGCGTAAGTTAGGCCTAACAATAAATTTTCAGTAGGCTTGGTAATAGTCAACTTTTGATTCATCAAAACAATATTAATTTCACCGTAAGTATGCAATCCTCGGTAGTATAGTGGTAAGTATCCCCGCCTGTCACGCGGGAGACCGGGGTTCGATTCCCCGCCGGGGAGGTAGCATTTTTTTTTTTTATAGGATATATATCTTTTACATTTTTTTGCATTTTCAATCAACCGTTTCATAGTATTTATTTGCAGTAAATCTGATGACGTTTTTTTGTTTTATTATTCAGTGGAAGCATTTCCGGAGAGAGAGAAGACACGGACAGTATTGGAAGACTTATGTAGATCTGTTTGAAAAGGATATAGTGTTTCTGGCGAAGAAGTGGTAAGTATGGACTCATTTAATTGATTCAACGGATATAAAGTGAAATAGTCAAACAATGTTTTGTGTTTACATTGACTTTAAAAAATATTATGAGCCACCAAGTACAGTGTAGCAGGTCATGAGTACAAAGTGAAAGTAAGCTGTTGTGAACAAGTTTTGGTAAAATCCACTTGTATTAATCCATTTGACTAAAATTTCATCCCATTCTCCGACAGGGTATGACTCGATGATCTAAAATGTCTTATAAAATTGTGCCAAATTCCGCAAATTTTGTAGATACATGGTAGGCTTTTACGTCTACTTTCATTTTCGTTTGTGTTTCACTTAGGCATGTTAAAACATAATATATCAACATACACTAGTCTTAGTCTCATGTTTTATATTGTAGATCAAAGGACCTGACTTTTCCTAAAGTATGGCCAGACTCCGCGAAGTATCTGGCACCACGGCCCTGGTTTTGGCGGGTCTGACGTTTGCCTTGGGGTTCTACCTGGGTTACAAGGCAAAAGCTTATCGCCTTCGATATCTCCATAATAAAAGAGATCGTCTGATGAATAAACTGAACAAAGCAACAGAGGACATTCAGTATACAATGAACAATATTTGACAAATACTCGGTTTAGGTTGTCTGCAATCTCTTTGATATTTTTTAGGTCATATAGATAGGCCTGTATATTTATTGAAATGTCAGCACATAGGGATTATTGGTAACAGAATTTATGCTGATATAATTTATTGTACATTTTATATGATATATTTTAACATTTACTTGAATATTGTATATCAAGTAATATACTGTATATAATTGAGATTAAAATTTTCTATAATAATCATATCCTGTATCAGCCTGAGACACATATATATAGATCACAAAACAGTAGAATGTGAACCAAAAATATATTGTGTTTTATCATAAGTACAGGCATCAGGATCACGAATCAAACTTAAACTTATAATTATTCAAATTTTTAATCGCCTATAAAATATTTATCAATTATAGAATTTATTTTTAAATTCGCACATAACACCTCAGTGAAACAATATTGAAAAATAGTTTTATATATTTTGGTTTGCTTGACTTCTACAACATTTTATTATAAAATGAAGAGGCTTACTTTTTTTCAGTTGCCGATTTCTTTCAGTACCATTTTTTGGCATACAATACTACATTTCCCTTGTATCACTTTACCCTAGTACAAACTAGGGAAGGGGAATGTCATTGAGCCTTTCAGTGAACATTTTTAATAGTAAAAGTAATGTTGGGGAAAAAAGTGAGAGGGCCAGTGTAATACACTACTGTACATGTATATATACCTTCCCGTATTATTAACCCTGGAAGATTTGTAGTTTGTACCTAATCTTCCTTCGAAGTGTACTGGTATTATTTTTAATTACATGTGTATATGACCCCTCTGTACATCAAGAAAAAGTTCATGCTCATTAATTTTTTTTAAATTAAAAATGTTATTTTATAAAGGTGTAAAAAGTAGTACATGTGCCGAGTTAGCTGCAATAATGTAGCCCTCTCCAATTTTTTTTAATCTGATGTTTACTCCCATAAAAAAAGAAGAGGGCTACATTTTTGCAGCTAGTATTGAGTTTATTATATCTACATGTATTTCATTTATTATAGAGTAAATCAGCGATTTGCACCCGTATGTTCAAAGATCGAGAACTAAGTATTGATGAACTAAGATATCACCGTCATTTAACTAGTGTGAAAAATACTATAGTACATGCAAAAAGTGTGTTCAAATATTTAAGAAAGCTTGAATCGATTTCAAATTGAGTAATAATAAACGGAGCCTAATAAACGAAATGCTTCACTTCATCTTTTTTTATCTGTAAGATCAGTTTAAAGACGATCCTTATATAGCGGAAAAAAAATCTCGTATCGGGAAGTCCTCAGCTTTAAGAGGTATGTTTTGTGCTTACAATAGTTTTTTTAACTTGCTAGCACCAACAACACAGGACTTCGATCGTAAATGACTTCCGTAATATGGGCATTAAGTGGTGTGAATAGTTTTCAGTCTTAAATACTAATCTCGTTGGAAAACTGAATTTAATAATAAAAAAAAATCTTTTTCAAGATATCACCCAGAAACTAGTGTTACACTCAAACAGAATGGGCCCTTGAAGCCCATTATTAACTTACATCACGATAATTAGATTAATAAATTTTTAATATTTTATTTGCTCGTAAAGTGACAAAAGTTCTGTGAAAGACTGAAATCTGTAGTAAGTTAAAAATGGGTACAAAATTAGCTGAATGACTCGGTAGAAGCGGTCCTTTGCCATGCCGATATCCTGCAGACCCACCAATGAGTTCACCATCCAGTTGGACATGTTGATGCTGGATAGAAGCAGTATCAGAAGCTTGGTGTTCTGTGAAATGTCAAGGTCGTTTCCTAGGTCCTCAAATCTGTGACCCACGATGATGAAAATCGTTTGATAGAGGACTCCTACACTATTGGAGACTCTATAGACGATGAAATATGGTCCGCGCTCCTCTACAGCAATGGCAGATACACTGAAAGCAATGACTGCCATAGAACTCACTGTTAACGCCACCTCGTTGAAGTTGACATCTTTGGTGTGTAGGACAAAGTTCAGCTTACGGAAAAAGTTGTGATTTATCGCTAAAATTAACATTAGAACAAACAATTTTATAGAACATACGAAACCTATGGTTATATTTTGCAAATTAGAACTAGGTGCAATTGTAGTCCATGGCAGAATAACTAGTGTTGAGATATTCCAGACAGCTGCAGTGACCAGAAATAGACAGATCTTGATTTTCGGGAAGGAAAAGACTGGCAGCGATTTTTGTAAAATGCTCGTCGAATGGCTACAGTTACCAGACAGATGAGAATCACGAGGATTTTTAATTAAACCTGGAATAGTTTTTCTTTCGGTCAGTCCAAAAACGAAGGATGTTGCCAGAACTGCAAACTCTAGGGTCACGGGCAGCCTGAAAGGCATGGTGATTTTGGCGAATTTTTTAATTGAGTCGCTCTGCACATATGAACAGTTTACCTGGTAAGTCCCATTCTCATCAGGGTTTAACAACAAATCTCTGTTTTCTGAAATTCTGAACAAAATAGACCTTATCCAGTCCACTAGGTTTCCTATCGCAATGAGTGACATGAGATATTTCATTTTGGCGGAACATATGAATGTATACCGACTTGTACATGTCATAAAAATGACTTGCACAAGAACAAATACAATGTTCACGGAGCCATGAACCAAAAGGGAGTATAACAGCTCATCTTGTACTGCATATTTACAGTGTAAGTAAAATATAATGTAAATGAACGAGAAGGTACACTTTACAATACCAAAGAACCACAGAAAGCCCATGTTTACTTTTGTCACTGTCGGGATACGCGAATCCTTGCACCCTATCCATTCTTCTTGTTGGCAGAACACCGACACAATGAGATATACGGTGACGAGCAGACCCAAGAAGCAAGTCAATATGGAGATGATGTCCAACACAAGATTTGCGGTGACATCACCCATGCCTCTCTCCTCGTAGGTAAAAATGGCCACCGAAAGAATCCCAAGAATTGCAGAGAACATGAGCACGGATCCTACATCTCCGTCAAATAGTTCTCCATAACGGTTTCTTCGCAGCTGATGCATCTCCATCTTGGTTAAAATGTGGAGAAATTTACATCTACTGTGATATGTCTAATGAACAAAGTTAGTACACCATTAGTTCTGTTATCTCAAAATGTGCAAGTATGTGATGAATATCGACCATCTGCGGAAGTTTCATGAAATCATTCACAAGGAAGTCCTCCAAGTCAGCAAAATAGAATTGAAGTTTCTCATACTTCCCGTCCATAAGAACTTAATTGTTCGTGTGTAATGTTGTGGAAAATAATGTGAAGAGTCCCTTCGTGTTGATGATAAATATGTATTAATTGATTGAAGAGTCAGCAATAAAATAAAGGTGGTTTTCTATAAGATTTGTTCCACAAAACTTTTCCACTTTGTTTTTTATATAATTGATGAAAATCACGAGGTACTTAAGCTTTTAAGTGAAATGAAGATTTGAGTCAGTAAGAAACCGGACTAGACTTTTTTAAATGTTTTTTTTTGGTTCCAAAATTTCATTTCTTGACCTTTGAGTATGACACATTTTTGCAATTTTTTTTAAGTCAAACTTTTGAAAAGTTGGTGCTAAGACTTAATTCATACATGTACTTCACCTGTGTATGATTGCGACAAGATCTTTACCAAGGATATTAATATCTTAAGTGTTTTGAATTTGACCGTAAAGTTTGAATCGCAATTGAAAAATTTTTAAGTTGTGATATAACTTTTGAATTGTTAATGCTAGGGTTTTCATATTTTACTGGTATACTTCTTGTGACAACATCCTTCTTTGGATACTAACAAATTGACCTATTTTGATCTTGGAGTTTGGCCTACTTTTGAAAAACTTTAATGTTGATTATAATTTTTGAACATTTGGTGCTCATGCATCAATATTTCACATTAGTATTTCTTATGACAGGGCCTTCCTCTGGGTATATCTGTATTTAGACCCTTTAACCTTGGAGTTGTGACCCAAATTTCAAAAAAAGCTTTTTCGACCATTTTTGAATGGATGGTGCTTAAGCTTTTATAGTTCTTGGTTTATTCACCAAGACAAGTTCTTTCTTTGGGTAAGAACATTTTCTTCTCTGACGACCTGGAAGTTTGACTTGCATTTGAGAAACTTCAATCTTCGCCAAAAGCTACGGGGGTAAACGTTTTTTTTTTTTAAAATACATCTTTTTTTAAATGCATTTTATTCATGTTAAAGGTGAATACTTTGTAATTGGTTATATTTCCTTTTTTAATTTTTAATAACTTTCAACATATTACTTATAAACTAAATTATAACACTATGATATACGTTAGAAATATTGCAATTAATACAGGTAAAAAGAGAGCAGAATATATGATGACACATGCTATCAGTTCTCGTCGTTGTATCAGTTGTCGTCTGCAGAGTGGCTTCTGTCGTCTGCTTTGGATCATCTCCACGCAGTCATCGTACATGAACATGATCATTCTCCACCGCTCCTGCAATGACTCCAGTGTGTTTTGGACCCCACGATCCAGAAGCATGGTGTTTTTAATCCGAGCATACTCTCCTGTTAAGGTCCCGTATTTTTCTTGACGTCTGTCTTCCTTCAGCGATACCCTCCTCTGAAATAACAATATCAATTTAAGGATTCATAGAAATTCTCTGAAAGAACAACACCTTATTCTTTCAATTACATGGTCAATTGGAATTCTCTTTAAAAACAATATCGTTTGACTCGTTGGAATTCTCTGCAATAAGAAAAAAACATGGATTCATGGTGGTTCTATGAAAGGACAATTTATTTGATCTGTCATGGATTAATCGAAATCATGGAAATTCTCTGTAAGGGTAATGCCTAAAATTCAGACAAAATTCTATTTATTAAGACCAGCATTTCCCCAAAAGCATATTAATAAAAAGGGAATTTCGTTTTAATATTGTAAATTAATCGACTCAATATTTTTTATCATTTTGAGTTCGTCAAAAAAAAAAATACTTAAGTGGATTACTTTTTATATGGGTGTAACATATATCACGTAATACTTCCATTTCTAATTTTTCTCTCTGTGATAACTCTTTGAAAGTTAGCGGAGTTAATTTCTTGATTATTCTACCGGAATGAAAATTAGGCAGATCAATAGGTCAGGAGCTGAGGAGGCCTAATATGCATGCAAATCTCGTGCTCATCTGTCTCTGAGTCTGACACTAAGGAGGCTAAATATGCATGAAAATCTCGTGCGACTGCCGTTGTGTCTGACGTCAGTGGGCGAAGACTATTGAAATTAGGATGGGAATCCTCGTGTAATTTAAATCTATGTCTGCATTTTTAAAGTCTAAATCTACAATTTTATTTCACAATGAAATGGAAATATAAGGAATCACTGTCTAGTTATAGTATAGTATGCAAGAGACATGGGATAATTTATGCATAACGGGCTTCACCCATTATGCAAATTATACCATGTTTCCCACTATTGTTGATGCCCTGGCATACTATACTAACTAGACAGTGATTCCTTAAACAACTTATTTGCCCCTCCTCTGTCCCTACACAATACAGATCTAGAACTCTAGGTATACTGTAAGTGTATATGCCACGTTTAATTAATTAACACGTACAGTGTGTTTATCAATACAGCGGATATGCATAAACGAAAAGAAGATAAACATCAAATAAACAAACATCAGCAATATTTGGAATGCTTTGGAACTACGTATATTATCTGTTAAATACTCACACGAATGGAAGTTTTACGAATAAGCGAACCTCCCTGGAGTTTTTCCTTTGTGATAACAATCTTAGGTGGATCCATCCTTCATCTGTTTGCCGTATACTTCCTTTTTGCCACCATTATGAACACACACTTTCTCCCAGCCGAACCATCAACAAAATGCTGAGGTGAATTCCAAATCTGACAACAGCACGCGCCTGTTTCTGGCTCATGTTCTATATACTGTGTATATTCTTAAAATATTCGCGCTTTTATCAAAACAATGCCGACTATATAGATGTAGATGATTTTCTGAACAGCACTGAGTGCTTTACCTGGTTGTGCCAGATTTATCGATATGTTAATTATCTGATATGTGGGACTTTCTTTTGTAATTACGTTGTGTTCAATTAAGCAGGGATTAACCATTTTAAAATTCACCAATGGTCATTAACCGAACCTTTAATAAGCTGAACGTAAATTGAATTATCTTGTAAATAATACAACAAAATTTGCAATAAATTGACTTAATTCTATAAAAAAAATTCAGAATTTTAAACAACTCATATATGCATGCACATATGTATATAAATACAGTATAATGATAGGCAAGCTCATTGTAGCAATAGCCTAGCTTCGGATACATTGCACGTAGCAACAGCCCCCCCCCCCCATTTTTACTATTGAAAGGACGCCCCCCTTTTTTTTTTTTTACAGTAAAGTTAAAAAAGGGTAATGTAGTGTTGTAGTAATAAAGTTTGGAACTGAAAAAAGTAAAACATTTCTCTGGCTACCCCCTCTCTTTAAAAATGATGCTACGTCGCTGGATACACTTCAAAATACAAGTATTTTTGATTTGAAAACGTCTTTGTTGTGATCAAACGAGGAACAGGGATTTAACTGATTAAGTTGAGTCCACTAGAACGAGAAAGACATAACATGACCATTTAAAGTTTCGGGGGATGGTCTGATTGACTTGCTTCACTATACGGTGCCTTTACAAGATAAAAGCATATTTTTTTGCCAGCATAAAAGTCAGATTTTAAAACTATCTAGATAAATACACAATTGGAAGAATTGTATTTGAAAAAAGTGAATTAACAATTTGAAAGTTTGAAAGCAGATTATCGGTTATTCTTGCTTTTATGACTTCGATAAAAAAAAAACGATTTGGATTTTCCGTTATTTTCAAGAAAGTGGACAAAATTCGTTCAATTATCAGTGTTACTTTTTTGCTTCTAAAGGTCGAGCGTGCCCCCAGAAAAAATATGTTTCACCGATTTTATAAATCTTTACATTATATATAAAGATCGAGTCAGGTTTGGGATAATGCTAAATGTAATGGTAATGAACTTGATGTATAATTAATTTAGTTATATGTGATGTTAAAAAAAAGCATTACATTTAATGGCAATGTAATGCATTGCTTTATAAAATTCATAGTAATGCTGGAATTACTCAGCATTATTTTGTATATACTTTTTTAAACGTTAAAGATAGATAATCAGAGATTACAGAGCTCATCTCAACGAATGAGGCAAAGTTCCACATTAAACTAGAAGTGCACATCCTAAGATGCAACATTAATGCAATTTTGATCGATCTGATCATAGTGCTTTCAGTTATACTTAGTAATAGACTTATCAAAAAAAAAAAAAAAAAAAAAAGAAAAGAAAAGAAAGAAAATTCAAACTAGTCACCCATCCAGAAAATGCAATTCAAATCCAGCATCAGAAGCAAGTGTAAGAGTGTTCATTCCATGATGCATCATCCTGGTCATTCATCCATGGTTCAGATAGGCCTTATAGTTATAGTAAAGGGTTAGGAGGTGGATAAAAAATAGGATTGGTAAAAGAATGTGTTTAGAATTTTGTTAGGGTGTGAAAGATAGTGGGTTTACCAATGCTGGAAAGTGGAGAGACCCCCCTCCCCCAAATTGTGCAAAAAATCTTGCGCTGAACATTTTTTTTGTTTGCATAACGGGGTCTGTATATAAAACCAACGTTCTGCAGCTATTCTAGACAAAATAGTCATCGGGATCGGGATGCCATAAATCTTGAATGCAGACATGTGAAAAAACAAATGTAATACTTTATTTCACTTTCAGACCAAAATCGATGAAATTATTTTAAATTACTGCTCATATATTTATGCCTCTATGATTCTGCACGACCGGGATGAAGCACGATATTTCAAAGCTGAGATACACACACGAGTACTCGGAGATTGTAGGAGAATTAATGTTGATTTGGACTGAAGTTGGATTCCCAGTGTACAGCTGGTAATTTGAGTAGTTAGGACAAAAACATATAAATTATCAGAGTATATACGCCTATTTCAGTTGATTTTGCTTCATAAAGTCTAAGAGAGAATTGTTGTAAAGTCTCTCCTCCAATCTTTTGAAACAATGAATGATCTCATTTATGGGGTTCAGATATAAACAATGATCTCATTAATTAAGTCATTTATGGGGTTCAGATAACAATGAACTCATTTATAGGGTTCAGATGCTGTTTGAATGTATTTGTTTAATGTCTCTTTGAGAATTTTTCACTTATATAGAGATGCCACCAAAATTTTAGAATAGCATTCTTATTTTGATAAATTTGCTGCAATTCACAATATTTTAATTTCCCAGGTTCTAGACCAACATTCACTGTACACAAATTTTGGGAGATTGTAATACAATTCCAGCAACTATATAGCAAAAAATGGATGATAAATCAAATAGACTACAATTAGTTCAACTAAAATTGATCAATGTTTTGGATTTTCTATCGAATTACCTCCCCCTTGTAAACTGTCATTCTAATGACTTTATTCTTAACAATCATTGGCACACATTTTTGTGTGAGTCCATCAGAAAAGAACTTGAAACCCTCAGTACTAGTGAACTTGTATCAGTCTTGAGTCATACAATTGATAACAAGAAATTAAGCCAACAGGAGACTTGTAGAGAAGATGGATCTGATCCAAGTTCTTGGAAATTCAAATGTGAATATCTGGATACAACAAAGACAGAAAGTGAAATTAGTGAAATTTATTCACCTGAGATGCAGAAATTGCCCCCTCACTGGGTTCATGGAAACTTGTATTCATTTTTATATGATGCACAAAGGAACAGTCTTCAAAACTTGGGCATTCTTTCACAGATTGAAAATCTTTTTGAAGATGTAAATGCTGCAAATGAAAACTCTGTGTTTATTTCCACATTTATGAATCAGAAAAAGACTCATGAAGTAGAGGTAATGGGAGAACTGTGTTTTAAGCTGACTAAGAAATATGACACTAGTGTGGTAAGTAAACCTGCAGGATATATTTCATTATTTTGAAATTGTTAGTTTATAAATATGGTATTGCCAGTATCAACAACTTGAATAATGATGCACCTAACTAGAACAAATCATCTTATTGTAAAAAAAAAATGAATTTATGTGAAATTTAAATTTAACATAAATCAAAGGAGAAATCAAACTGAAAATTTTGAAAAATAAATGAAAGGGTAACTTATGTTTTTTGTGTATTTTTAGGTAGTAGATCTAGGGAGTGGTAAAGGATACCTCAGTACACACCTGGCATTCCAGCATAAACTGTGTGTGATTGGTGTAGATGCCCAAAACATCAACACAAAAGGGGCCACAAAGAGGGCAGACATACTATCCCGGCAGTGGGAGGGAATAACTCGAAATGAAGTTTTACGAGCTGATAAAGTTGAGCCAGGAAAGATAGGTAAAAAGAAGAAAAAACTTATGAAGAAGTTAAATCTAGAAAAAGACATGCAGCAACAAAAGGACTTCAAAAAATCTGATGATTTGCATTGTGGGATATCTGATGAACTCCTTACAGACTTCTCCGGTTTATTTGATGATTCTGGGGAAATTGGTGATGGTAAAATAAGTGGAGATTTCAAAGATAGTTTACCAGTAACTTGTGATTCCTCAGACCTGGCAGAGAAAATTCAAAATAGTGCGACCATCAAAAACAACTGTAAAGGAGGAGAGGGGAAAGAACATCTAAGCAAATCTCAAACAGAAGTCAAAACTAATATAGAATGTGAGCATAATTCTAATAGTAGTAATTTTTCTCATAAAAAAGTCAACACAAAATCTTCAACACTAAAAGCCAACCACTTTCCTGTTACCATGTATATACACACAGACTCCAACCTTAGTGACATAGTAAACAAAGCTTTGGCACAGAATTCAGCACACACAAAAGGCAAGGGAGCATCATCCACAGATTTCTGTGAAATTTCTTCAACTGAACAGGGCAAATCAGTCTGCTGTGATAGAAGTGATCAGGAATGGGACAGGAAAAACTGTGTTCTGCTGACAGGGCTCCATACTTGTGGTGGTCTGGGTTCCAATATGTTAAGACTGTTTGTTGAGTCAGAAGATGCCAAAGTCCTGTGTAATGTAGCTTGTTGTTATCACCTCATGAGTGAGGAATTTGTTGCCAGTCCATTTAAAGAGAAAGGTACATCTAGCTTAACATTAATATAAGTGCATTCAGGAAAAAGTGCATTTTATATGTGTCAGTTTGATAAAGATTCAATCATATAGCCATGACTAGTGAAAAGATGATGTTTTGATTTTATTTTTATCTATTGGTATATAATTATTGTAAAAGAAATATAACCTATGTTTCTAACATCATTTTGTAGAAGACATGATTGAGGCTCCAGGCTTTCCTCTTAGTGACTTTTTAAAGAGAAACAAAGTTGGTATCGGGAGACAAGCCAGAAATCTGGCCTCTCAGTCCGTCAACAGACGCGCCCAGGACGAGGAGGTATATCTCTCATAACCCAGTCTTGGGAACTCCATTACATTGTGTATTTTATATATTAAATTGTCTTCTTATGTTTTGTTTGCGTAGGTGCTTGCTAAACAGTTTCCCAGAATGTTGCTGCAAGTTATACTTCGGGATCAGCTGGGATATGTGAGAAGTGATTGGAAAGGGCTGAGAAAGTTAGACCAGAAATGCAAGGGGATGTATGAATACGTTACAAAGGCATTTGTCAAGCTAGGAGTTCCTACAGGAGGAGTAAGTTTTTAGCTTAAATAAGTTGTGTTGCTGAAACATTATGACCAAGATGGTAAATACCAACAACTGTTTTACCCTGACATTTGACAATTATCGGGCCATGACCCAAAGATATAACTTTCACCTTTATCGTAAATAAAATTTTATGCCTAGTTTACTTGAAAGTTATGGTAAAAAGTGATGAAGCTGTAGAAAAGAGCTGACAAAATTTGTTCTGAATGGCATGTAAATAGAAAAGTGTTCTTTCACACATGTAATCAGATGGGTAAAAACTATAAACAAATTTATATTGATAGATCACTGAGGAGCTTATCGATTCCTATTGTGAAAAGTACAAAGACCAGAAGAAGAAGTTTGCTGCATTCTTTCAGTTGAAGACTGCCCTGGCTCCCTGCATTGAAGCTGTCATTCTGTTGGACAGGCTTTGTTTTCTTCTCGAGCAGGTATATTATCATTTTGTTTGGATGCAGAAACAGATTTATCTCCCTTTACGCAGCTTCAGTTCTTGCATCACACTGGTTTATGTTCAATGCATTCATAAAGATTTCATTGTAGATTAAAAAAAAAACGCCAAAAAAACTCCAATTTCTTTTCTTGAGTTACTTATAAATATACATAATTTTCATTACAGGAGTCTGTTAAAGATGCCAAACTGCTACAGCTCTTTGACCCTGTGACCTCACCAAGGTGTTATGGGATTGTTTCTGTGAAAGTTTAAGCAATCATGGACCCCTTCAGTGTTCTGTTAAAATCTAAGTGATTCTGGACCATTCTGATTATATGCTACGATAAAATACTTTAAAAGATAAATACATGTATGATGATTTTTTGTAATACAAGTGTAACTGTGTTGAATGAAGTTTTGAAAGAAATGTGGTGTCCTGTTTTTATATCAGACAACAAAAGTACTGATTTTGCCACGTATTACGCATTGGACTGGTGAAGACATTCAATATTGAAAATTATTAAAAGATGACTGCTTATAGTAAACGGAGGGGAGAAAATTAATCCAAGAATAATGACTATTTGCCGTTATTAATTTGACCCCATAAGATTCCCAAATTTGGCAATCAATGATGAATTCAGCTAAATTACTAAATTTGGCATTTTCATTGACAGATACTAATAAGGAATTTTATTTTTAAAAAGAGCTGTCTTTTAAAGTTTATGTATATTTGATTTCACTATTTCTGGTTTACAATTCGGGTTTATTTTCCAAGACCATTTTTGTTAAGATCTGTTCAAGTATAAATTTCTAGACAAACTGAAGATTTGAAAATACCTGTATAATAGGTTGGTTATTTGAAATGCAGTCTATTTTTTGGTCACAGTCTTGATTAATATACAATACTATTCATGTCCAATTGATAATGTCTGGTTTGAGACTACTTTAATGGAAGTGAATGTACAGATGTAGACAAATTACCAGGATTTTTTTTTAACTAATTGTTTCATTGGCATCTAATGAAGTCCGAGTTTTATACAAGTCAAGAACTTTCACTATGGGCTTTCAATTTATAATTGGGCTTATTGGCTCATACATTCACTCATAATTATAAAAACACTGAATATTACAAGAATTTTTTTATCAACAAGTGATCCATAAGACCATAAATACTACACTACATTTCAGAAGGAGCCAAAATGACTTCATCCCCAGGTGCCCCAGATCCAGCCTTCACCTTGAGGGGGAGTGGCAGTCCCATCACCTGTCTGAAATTTACTGACCAGGCAGATCAGAAGCTTTATTCCGGTTCTCAGGAAGGAACTATCCATATCTGGGACATGAAGACCCATAGACCACTAGAAACACTGGCTGCCCACCCTGGACAGTCCGTTCTGTGGATTGAGTTCATCAGTGGTGATGAGATGGTGACGTTTGGAAGAAATGGCATTGCTAATATATGGAAAGCTGCAGAAGCAAGTTGGACAATTACAGGTTAAATGATTATTTAATAACTTCTTTGTTAGTGTTAGACATTTTACGCAGCTATGTTGTTACTTTGCATTAAACTACATGTAAAAGGTAATTTCCACATACCAAGATATATCGGTATACTGGCTACTTATACATCTATTCTGTATATATTTTGTAATTTATTTGTGTAAGAAATTTGCCAAGTACCTTATTATTTCAAATGTTTCATATTGATCTAATTCTAGGTAACATTCAGACATCTGTGATGGGGTTTTGTCCTGGTGCACTGCTGAAACAGGACAATTTACTGGCTCTTCCCAGTGAGGAAACATCAGCAGTTGATTTATACGATATCAAAACTCGGGAGAAAGTTGGACATTTCCTTGATTCTGGCTGTAAACATGGAATGACTATGAGTATCAAGTCAATTTCCGACACATCTCAATTTTTTGTGGGATATGAAGATGGTTCCATTGGTTTATGGGATTGCAAACATTCTGGAATCCTGGACAAGGCTAAATTCTTTGAGGAATGTGTGATGTGTCTTGACTACAGCTCTGGTGCTAATCTTGGAATCTGTGGATCTCCCAGTAAGACGTTATCGACCTGGAACATTACTGATAACCAGATTAACAAGGGAACAAGTTATGAAGTGAAAAACCCTGGATTTAACGACGTAAAAATTCGTAATGACCAAAAAATATTAGCCACTGCCGGTTGGGATCACCAAGTACGAGTGTTTGGTGTGAAGAAATTCAAGCCTTTAGCTGTATTGTCCTACCACAAGGACAGCATTCAATGTCTGGCCTTCTCAAAAGACAATATGTTAGCCTGTGGTTCTAAGGATCAACATATCAGTCTCTGGAAACTTTACTAATTTACTGTAGTAATATGTGACAATTTGTTTTTCACAGTAAACACAGAATCAATTAAGACAATTTTTTAATCTTTGCATTTTTTAATGGTATTTTTATTTTTAAAATATCAACAATAATTTGAAATTGGTCAGTTTTAGCTTTCCTTTCATTAAATGAACATACGTGTACTTGTAAACATGGAACACAACATTCTATAACCTCCTTTATCATGGAAATTCTTTTCATAGAATCTTTGGACTTATTACATGTATAAGGATGTGTTATACTTCAGCCATTGAGACAGACAATAAAAACTGACACATATCATGAACAAAATGAAATGTTAAATTTCTCTTCAACATGGCAGAAAATGTGAACTACATGTACATTTTAACTTGATATTAAACTTCATATTGAGGATGTCTTGTTATTATTTCTAGATCATGTACATATGTACCTGTGTTAAGTAACAATGAAAAAATAACAGATCAATACTCTTTTCAAGTGGCCTTGTGTGATGCAGTGCCGAACAGACACAGCATCCCACTGACAAATGAAAAAGATACAGCTATTAACAGAGAGTATTCCAGTAACAGAGAACAAGTTGCCCTATAATCAGACCCTGATCAGTAGTTCTGATAACACAGTAACAAGATCGGAACACACAACAATAACAGAGATAAAAACAGACTAGATCAAGAAATCTCTTAAGGTGTAATGCTGACTAAAGTGTTATCAAATCTCAAACAGTATATAGAAAATCTTTTATCATTATCTAAAACTGCTTGAGTACATTATAAGTTAAAAAAATGCACTAGGAATAGAAAGTATACAAAGTATATCAGTATATGCATCACTGATGTATGCATCGTCTATTTCTCTTAATTTTTAGTTGTATAGTAACATATAACAGTAATAGTCTAAATATCCTGCAAAAATCAAAATGATAAATTAAAAAATAATTTTTTTCTCAACAAGTTTCTTCTAAATACCTGTGACAGCTTTAGTGCACTAGTCTAAAAATATTTTTATAAAAATTTTTTTTATTATAGATTTTTTGTTAATATTTGTCTTTTTGAAACATTTTAATTAATTAAATATAACACTTGAACATTGCAGTGGTTGTATATACCTGAGTATTGGAGAAATCAATTAATTGTGCTGAACACTTGAACATGAACATATAATATTGCACTCTAAAATTGTTCAAAAAAATTTCAATTGAAGAGAAAAAAGTCTGAAAATAGCCTTCTATATTTTTTAAAGATCTTGAATTTTAAACTCAGACATCTGGACTTGTATCTGGAGATGGCCTTTGAACACGAGCATTGATGTAACTTGCAATGAGGAGGGTCAAATCCAATATCTAAGATTAAAGAAAACAGGAGATTGTGAATACAAAGACGATGGATTACAACTCATTAAAGAAAATCTATTCATAAATAAATTTTGTACCATTATTTCAAGGCCAGAAGAGGTTTTACCTTGAACTTTGGCATGGCAAAGAGAAGTTTCTCTGTTCTGTGTTCATAATGGTGTGGAGCTGACTCAAACAGCTGACTCACTACTAACATAAAATCCTCCTTCCATCCTCCGAATGTGATCACTGAACGATAGTCATATGTGTTCAGTGGTTGCTACAAAAGACACATGAGTAAATATGAATAGATAATTTTTCCTGATATCACATACCGGTAAGTACTATAAAACCAATTTTAATTTTAAAACCTTAATATTGACTAACCATGGTGGCGTGCTCCAGGACTGAGATTCCATCCTCCTGTACAGCTACCCAAACATCATCTGGACTTGTGGATCCCTTTATCTGTCAAGTTATCAAATATTATAATACACATCTGTGCAAGTTTTATCATTTACATAATGTATATAGATAATAATTGGGGGAATTCAAATCCACAGTGGGGTGTATGGGCAATTATTTAGTCATTTAATAAGAGAACTAAGAAAACAAGAATTAAGGACACAAAAGAAAATTAATAAACACTTTGTTTAAAAGTGAAGTATGTGGGCAAATTCCATAAAATTTTTCAACAGGTATTTTGTAAAATGTCCAGTGGTTACCTTAGCCATGTACAGCTTTGCCCCACAGTATGGCCATTTCCTGACAACAGCTAAATACACTCTGACACAGTCCTGTATGGTTCTACCTCTCACGGAAGTCCACCTCTCTAACAACTTCATAACTACAGCTCTGTAATAAACAATCACAAGTCTGGTCAGCTTCTGGTATTTTAGCATAACACAATTATGTTTTTCTATCTTTTTAATCATATTTTGTTCTATTCAGCTTAATTGATTTTTTTAATACCTTGCAAAATTCTTAACAATTTACCCTATACAATTTAATGGTTTAAAGGAATTATAAATAGAACAAAGTAAATTCACATGTCCTCAAAAATTTTACATGTAAGTAATAAAATTTTTACAAGTATCAGGTACAAATTCACCAGACATTATGAAAAATTTTTTTTTGATGTGACATCACATAAATCTAAAAAGATAAAAAGGTTCATTGCATTGTATTCTTCTCTTCATTGATTTTAGTGCAGTTTAATCAATACTCTTTTTCAGTCATGATAGATATTCAGTGTTTTCAAAAATAAAGACCATTTTAAGGTAATATACATATACAATAAGGATTTTTTGCAGGAAAAGTGTACATGTATATGTAGAAGCAATTAAGGAAGAAGATATGTAGGGTATACTGTATAATTATAAACAGAAGCCTCTCTGACCTTTGTTCGGTTTCCTCGGCCTCGGAGTATTTTCGGGGGTAGAACTTGTCTAACACTGCAGACAGCTGATTGGTGATGTTACTATGGAATGGGGAGGAACTGCTACTGCTGGTCTGACTAGATTCACTTGGGGCTCGAAGGTCCCCAAATTCTACCTACAAGGTCACAATCAAAATGTTAATTATTACAATGATATACAGAAAGTAAATGCACCATTGATAACGACATTTTAAGTAAAATTCCAGGTACTTGTAAACGTATAATTGAAAAGCACTGCAGATCTTTTGATTCATTTTCTTTTTTTTTCTCATTTAATTAATGAACAAAAAACATACAAGTAAAACATATTTTTCCATACCTGAGCTAGAAGAGATGCAAGTTCTAAGGCTAAATCTTTGTTCAGTGGAAATCGTCCATAAATGATTTCCTCATTGGTTTGATATGCTAGTAGTAATTTTTCTTTCTCTGTCTCTGATGCACTCAAACTTTTGAAGTACAACCTATGCATACAAAATAATTCTTTATTTAGCAACTGAAATCTTTCATTTTAATGTAAAATATTTATATTCCTCGTGTATTTTTCTTATAAAAAGTGTTAAAAGATTTGGCAGTCATAACACTCAAAGAAAGTCAAAAGGTTAATGTCTCTAACAGTGAACTGAGTACAAGCGCATGATCAAAAATAAAAATTCATACTCAATTTGAAAAGTAACGACTGCTTAATTTAGCTATAAAAGTGTGGTGTGTACCACTTAAATAAGCATATCATATAGAAGGAATCAACAACTTTATCAATCTTTCATGAAATCAATAATACAGATAAAAGTATTGAATTGTAAATTTGGACAGATTTGCAGACAAATTTTCTATCATGTTCTAATGCACATTATTCAAGTTTTCACCACAATCATCATTTTATGACATGATGAAAATTCAAAATTTTCAATTAATGCTTAAAAATTTATCACTATTTATCAATTTTACCTATTTTTGTAAATGAAGCGTATAGTTTTGTTGCTATCTAATTTCCCTGAGTGAAAGTCTTGGTAAGATTTTTCCCATCTCGAAATCACATCACAAACCTGTTAAAAAAAAAAAAAAAGTTTTCACTACACGTTTTTACAAAAATACATTACCCCTTCTGGGAGGTCATTGTAAAAAATAATTTAGTGCTTCTGTAGGTTATTTTCTTTCTGTAAATGATATATGCTGCCAAATACAATGTAAAGACTAAGCTTTTTATAATTTTTCAATGTAAAATTTCAACTAGTACAGTCTTCAAATTACTGTTTTTGTGGCTATCAAACAAAATACAACTTATGCTACGAAATTTAAACCAGATTTATCACTTTTATGCTGTACCTTGACATGTAACTGTAGACACTGTTCTACTTCTGTGTTGCCTGGGTGGTCGGAGAAGAGATAAAACCCTGAGTATTTGTAATCACGAATGTTGATAGTTTTATTGATGCTCTGTGTGAACTCATCTACAGTGGTGGACCCATCAAAACTTATCACCTAGAAACAGAGAAGAGACAAAAACATTAAATAGTATGTAATAAAATTAAGCTACAGCTGCTTTAAAAAGACAAATACAAAATCTCAATGGAGGTTTTAATGGTTACCGTTAAAATGTGGTTGACAGAAATACTGTAGAAGCACAAATTTTTTGTGGGGATAAAATTTTGTGGAATTGTCATTTTAAAAGTGTTTCATGGGGATAAAATTTCATTGTCTCTAAAGTAACTCTATTCATATACAGTTTGTTATCTTCATATCTTATCTCATTTTTAAACAAGTAATATTGTAGGTGTAATGTTTCTGCATTTCAGTGATATGACCACCATCTCATTCAAATGGCCAACAACTTTCATCATGGGATATAAAGGACCTTAATCTGACAAGAAGCTTTGCCCTGACCATCAACTTTGTGAAGTATGATTCTTTAGAGCATAAGCATTTTACATTAGACTTTTTTCTAAAAACAGATTATCACCTACAAAAAAAAATACCTACAAAAAAAGTATAATCAATCTTTCTCTTACTTGATAGGTATTGTTCATGAGGTGTACTGGGATGCTGATTGGTTGAGAGTGATGGTAGGGATGACGTAACAAGATGGACATAATCTCCATACGAGAGGGTCTGGCATCTCTGTTTCCCTTCAGTATGGTTCTCTCTAATGCTCTCTGGCAGAAAATGGCATATTTTCCCATGTCATGCCTGAAATCATTTTAACAATGTAAAAGAAAGGAAAATGTTCAGGAAGATGAAATCAGTTGTTTTCCATACAATTTAAATGTTTCATTGACCCCTTCATTTTGAATTCTTTTTATTGAATTCATTTTATTAAATTCTCAAAGTAATTGATTTTACACCATCTATGAACTCTCCTACTAAATCTAACTTTTTAATGGTAAAGATTTATTATTTGTGACATTTTATATCTGTTGATAGTCAGCCATTCTTTATCCTTGTAAGATATCACTACCTTGGATCCGCCACTCTCTGTAGGTGGACCTTGAGGTGCCACATGATGGACTGTTTGGGGAGGAACAGGGAGGTGGAGAGGGACAGCAGCTGCCAGCCCTGGAGGAACACAGTGGTGATGGGGTTCAGCTTCCCCTCACACAGGTCTGATACGGAGTTTGTGGGGGAGGTG